ATTAGGGAGACAAAGTTATGATTTAAGGGTGAAGAAGATTTGTGAATAAAGGCTAAAAATGATTTGCAGTTGAAGGATGAAAAGGGTTTGTTAGAACAATGAAAAAGTTTGAAGGAATATGAAGGGTTTTTTTTATTGGATTATGAAGAAGATTTCTCATGGCATGGAGAAACAGATAGAAGAATGACCCAGATTTTTTCCATTGAAGGATAAAAAATGAAATCTGAAGAAGATTCTCCATTCCAGGCTGAAAATATTTGTGATCTAAGAAATAATAAGATTTGACCTCGGGATGTCTTTTTATTGTTTTTGTCTTTGGGTTGCTGTCTCAATAACGTTTACCCCACATCTGTTTTTATTCATATTTGTTAATCATAATATATTAATTCACTCGGTTATCATTGGGAGGCAAATCGAATCTGTTACAAGATATTATTCGCTTAACATGTAATCATTGTTGAATATGTTTACTAGATCACAAACATATATATAGTTAAATCAAGGATGTACGTAATCAAAGATCTAAATCCTTGCTTACATCAGACACAAATGTAGTTAAAACAAAGAGAAATCGTGATTTTGTTTACAATAAGGTATAGTTGTGAAGCAAGTTGAAGTTAATTTCCACGGGAAACGCGATATTTCTGAAGATATCATTCTGAAATAACTTTTTCTCACAAAAATAGCACAATATTACCTTTAGGTAAAATGGATATGACATTTTATAGTATTTGCCGATCGATTTTGTAACATTCAGCAATCTTGATATTCCGTAATTTCAAGAAAATAAATTACTGTTTCAGAAGCCCTATCATGGAAACGAATATAAAACCTTCAGGCTGAGTGTGTACTATTGCAGCTTAATTCGTCCAATTATGCACATCGTCCTTTAATCTAAATGATTTCAATAAATCCGAGTACAAATGAAACTAATGCGTGGACCTTCTTCAACACTTCTGTGCCGAAATGAAACTTCATTGATCAATACGCTAATATTTTGTAAATTTACAGTTCATAAAATGTAAAAATAATTTGAACACTTGGATTTTTCTACTCCCAGGCATAGATCGCGTTAGCCATTTTGGTATCCCATTTTGTAACTTTGATTTATAATGTTATTGAGTTGGCTTTCAGACTCCTTTGAATCGAGCGTGGCTGATGAGTCTTATAAACTATAACCCTGGTATCTTTAATGATCTTTGATGAGTTTTGACTTTGCCAGGGGTCCCGGATTCGAACCCTGGCTGGTACAGTAGAAAAGTTGAAGATCATCATGCTTCATTGTTACAGCAGTAAAGATCTTGTGTTGTTCAATCCAGCGTTCTAACTGTGATGTGACGACAGAAGAACACAATTCAGTTAAAAGAACACTTTTGTACGGTTAAATTTTCATTATCGACTCTTGAAAAATTGAACTATGACATGTTTTAAATTTCTTTAGATTCGTTATAAAAAGAGATATGCAAGAATGAATAACTTTAGAATGTTAGACATAACACAAGGTATGTTATCTCATGGTCTTCTTACCTTGTTAGGTTTTGGCATTACTTTTGGTCCCTTTGGTTTTATCACCTGTTCAATTTTGTATTAGGTTTTAGATTTTCAAACATTTTGGCCTCAAGCATCACTAAAGAGACGCTAATTGTGGATTGCACAATTGGTGTAGTAACATTGATACCGTTCTCAGGTGTCGTGTATAATTGTTTATATCCTTATCCACTTGTTTTTCGATTGAGTTTTGTCTCATTTGGCAATGTTTTAACATCTCTTTATTTTTATGTAACTATGGCCTTCAGCAATACCTTTTCTTTTTTAATCGTTGTTTACTAGCTCATAAAAACTATCAACCTCTTGTTTTGATGAATTTAATGTATAATTTGTTTACACACGACAATAAGCTATAAGCTCCTCGTAAATCATTTATTCACCCGAATCTGATGATTTTAATTGTGATGTCGTGTACATTTGATATCGTATACTTGTTTTTATGTAAGTAATAAAACATAACATAAATCCCAATCTAATGATCGAAGTTAAAAGTTGAAGGTCTTATAATGATGTCTAATAACAGGTTATTGTCTTGTATGATATACATAATTTTTATAATCAATAAGAATTCCGATAGAGAACATTTTACAATATTCTTTCAAATTTTGCCTCAAAATGTAGTTACAGAGGAGTTAACCAAATAGTGAGAAGTTAGCAGACAGTAGATGAGGGTCATTTGGCTTCGTGTTCAACTTCGGTTTCCCTTTTAATCAGTATCGTAAGTATAAAAAATAAAATTTTTGACAAAAAAATTACCATTTCCGGATCACATCATATTTTGCCCGAATAGAATAGTAACATTGATACTTAAATAAGATCAAAATTTCTACATCCCATCATATTTTGTCCGATAGAATAGTCACATTTCTGCCTAAATAAGATCATTTACGCATCACATTTTTCATGTAAAAATAGTTATATTGCTACATGAATAAGATCACAATCTCAACATCACATCATACTTTGCCCGTTAGAATAGAAATATTGCTACCTAAATAAGAACACAATTTCCACATCAAAACATACTTTTCACGATAGAATAGTAATATTGCTACCTAAATAAGATCACCATTTCTACATCACAACATACTTTTCGCGTCAGAATAGTAATATAGCTACCTAAATAAAATCACCATTTCCACACCACAACATACTTTTTGCGTCAGAATAGTAATATTGTTACCATATACTTTTAACATGGGAATAGTACCACCCCGAACACCGAGTTTTGTTAAAAAGATTAAATTGGAATCCTTAATTATATAAACAGAGATTTACTTACAAAAGGTTTCAAAACTTTAAACATAAATACAGGGGATTAATCAGTAGCTGAACCATAGAAAAGAAAAAAAGAGGGCCGAGTAAAGAAAAAGAGGGCCGAGTAAAGAAAAATGAAATTTTACTAACGGTACAGCAAAAGCGAAAAAATACCAAAAAAAACCATCAACTTATCCTAATATGAAACAAAAATTAAAAAAAAGATGTATTGACTTATGATACACTAAAACATTTCCGTACTTACTGACTTCATAAACATTATAATTACATTATTATGCATTTCCGTGTTAATGACTTATGAGATATTAGGTACACTTATACATTTCCGTATTTACTGACTTATTAGATATTAGGATTACACTATTAGATTCCTCAATCATTGACTATGAGATATTAGGATTACAGTAAGACAATTCCATACTTATTGACTTGTGAGACATTCCGTATTTAAACCAAGATGTCGTTAAATGAAATTGGAGACCCTGCATTTATCATGCTTTTCGATGAGGGAACGACCATTTAACTTCAAGGGGGTGGGGTGGGGTTATGGTTGTTTCCTAAAAAGATATTCTGATCCCCAATTTGATGAAAAATAATATTGTGGTCAAGCAGATGACAAAAAAAAATATTCTGAATCCAGATTTTCCCCATACCTTATAGTGTTAAATTTTGAAAATAAATAATTTGATTGATAGTGTCGAAAAACTACAATAAAAATTCTGATTCGGACAAAAATCCCGATGATAACCTACCCCTTGAAGTTAAATGGTTGCTCCCTAACATATGGTCAAATCGCTGAAAGACCCACCTCTTAAATTATTATTTGATTAGTAAACTCAGAGACATATATATGTCTCTGGTAAACTATCATTCTGCATTGACAATACTATCTAGGTGTAAATTAAATACACCAAATCCGGCTAACGCCCTCATAGGTGTATCTTATACTTATTTTCTTGTGAGACATTAGGGTAACATTAATACATTTCCGTATGTATTGAATTTTAGGATGACACTAATACATTTCCGTATGTATTGAATTTTAGGGTGACACTAATACATTTCCGTATGTATTGAATTATGATATATATTAGAGCATGGCAGTATTATATCGAAACCGAGTCTGAAAGATATGAATTTCAACAGATGGCAAGTAAGCATTTCGTGTATAACGTCACATGAAATTTTAAAGATAAGAGAGAACATTTTATTTTCTGAATCATTTTCAGTTATTAAATTGTATAAGCAGAAGATGAAACTATAATTTTCATATGGTTCAGAGAAACCATTAGCCTTATTGTGAATCTTAACGTCTCATGGGCCTTTTGTGGCAACGTGACTGGAAGGTATGCAACCCAGTACGGAATTATAATTTTACTAACCATGCTAACAGTACATCTAAAGCGGATTATATAAAATATCACAAACACAATGTCTATTAAAGAAAAATATTTACTTTCATTGTTGAAGAAAAGACAAACATTAATAATTTATAAAATAAAAGTTTTAGAGGTAGCCGGGTTTTTTTTATACGTTCGGAAGAAAGGGACCTTCTCTGGACTTTTCCTGAGTTGTGGCATGTTTGCTGGTTATAAGTATATAAAGGCCTGTTCCGAATTCAATTAGAATATTTGAAGATATTATGCAATGTTATGTTATGATGAGGTAGATACGTCTATTTGATTATGTTCAAGAAACAGCTTTTGGTAACTTGTGCCTGAAAGTTACTGGGAGTATTTTTGTTGTATTCGAATGATGACTTGTCGTAACTGCGAGTGTACGACAATTCTTGATCGTGTTGAATGCATAGCTCGTCGTAACTGATAGTTGGAGGGAATTATTATTTTCATGTGCTTTGATTCTACATTTCAACATCTTTACTTGTTCTAACTTTTGCAAATTTTTGCCTGTTTATCTGCCTGAGTATAATATTTATGTAAATACAGAATTTTTAGAAATCAGACTCATACTCTTGCATGTTGATTGGATTCATTTAAATGTATCCCTTGAACCATCGTCCTTTAATTATTCTGGCCTGAAATTTTCTGTATTCTACTCTCCAGGTCAAAATATATTTTCATAAATCAGCTTCGCCTCTCTAGGTAAACCCAGTTTGCGACAACAAAACCTACGTTTCACGTAAGCCAAGCTTAAATAATTACTAAAATACAATAATCTCTGAAATCCGTTTTATTTGTAAGAGAAATATATACTATTGTCTGAAGTGTGTGTATATAATAGTTTACGGGGAAATAAGGATGTAGATATAACGGACGCACGAACAACATAGGACTAGTTTATATCGCTGGTGGTATTATCACGCATAACAAAACTTTCATAAATGCTTCTTGGAATCGATATTCTCTTCATTTTTTATGAACACATGTTCACTTAGGAAAACTTACATTCTGTAAGAACGTTTTTTATGCAATGTCAAACTGATAGATTAAATAACGTGTAATTTCTAACATGTCTAACTTTAGAGTGACTATGAGAAATTCAAGCTGTTTGTTGTAAGTTTAAAGTTTGCTTTCTTTAACTTTGCTGCCGCTATGTCTCTCTGCATTCTAAGTACCTCCATTTGTAACAAATGTTCTTCTTCCATTATTTGCATTTTTCTTTCATGCTCAATTCGAGCAAATTCGAGTAAATGTTTATCAACATTAAGTTGTCCTTTACCACTTTGGAAATGATCAGACGTATTAATTTCTCTGGTGGAAGGAAGTTGTTCAACTTGTTCAATTTCCTCGTGTGGAGGACTATTGTTTCTTATAAGTATTGCTGGCTGGATGTTTGATTTTTTCAGCGTTACCTTGGGGTGTCCATGCTGTGGCAAAATCTTGTGCTGACTATTATCAAGTCTTTTATTAAAAGGACCATTGGTTGGAGAAGTAGATTCGTGTGGATAAGCATTAGACGATCGCCGGTCATACATTAAATACATCGCACTATTGTCTGTACCATGGAGTGAGTCATCAGACACAAATTTACTAGTTCTGAAAAAAAATATAAAAAACCTTTATGAAGAATGTAAACATGAAGTCTAAGTTCCATTCGACTTCCAGACAAAACATCCCAAGTTAAAAGATAAATCTGTAGATATATACCTAATTCAGAATTCTTATTATATACTACTATGTGCTTTCTTAGGTCCTTTGTATTCAAAATAAAAATACTTTTTTTAAAGGATACCTTTATATATCTTTAAGTTATTTGATTTGTACAGATGGAATATGTTTGATATGTACATGATATAAAAAGAAATAAAATACTAAGCAATATGCAATCAAACAATACAAAATAAAGAACTGGTCAAAGAACACCTAACCTTATATAAAGTACAGTACAACTAAGGTTTCAGAGCGCCGTTCAAACGTCATTATTTTGGTCTAACATGTCTTTAATAAGGGTTGTTGACCAGTTGACATTTAAAAAAAATTGTTATCAGTTCTTTACCCTGCTTTTTATCGTTTTTTTTTTCTATAAAACTAGACAACTGAATTGTTAATACGTGTTCTACATGTATAGTGCTTGTTATTCAAACCTAAATTTGTTATATGTTATAATTAACAAATTTGATTAAACTTTATATGTGATTATGTTTAATACTCACCCATGTTGAGTACTGCATTCTGAATGTCCAGGAACAAAATTCGATACGTCATCCACAGGTTCTGTTTTGATTACAAAAGGTACTTCCATGCTTTCCGTTTCATTATCTTCGTTTTCAAAGTTTATTGTAGCAGATGGTTGACTTTTTCCAAACAAAATTTCTTGTACTTTCGATATTATGTCCAAGGTTTCACCATAATACTTATTTGTAGGTACGTTTGGGTCAACCGGATTTGCACCCAATTCCGGTTGAATACCCCTGTCTCGAAGTTCTGCGCGTGCTGCAATTTTCATTCTTTTCCATTGTTCTTTAATTCGGATAGGTGTTCGCTTTCTGCCAAATCTTGCACAAAACTTATTGTGAATAAACTTCCACGCAGCAGCCTTTTTGCTTAATGTCAATAAATCGCTTTTTTTGTCTTCAATAACACCAACCCTTTGGCTGCATAATTGCAACAAATACTCCTATAAAAGAAACAAAATAAATTTAGTTAATAAATATTTATTCGGCGTATCAAAAACGTCCGGTTACTTATAAGGTTTGTAAAGAATGTTTATTTTAATTCATTTTTCATTGAGGTGTAAGTTTCCAATGCAGTTCTACAAGCATGGATATTTATATGTATTAGCAAATGTCACATTAGTTTGATTGGGTTTTACCACAAGATATTGTACAAACAATCCTTTAAAGTCGTGGTCATTTTTGTTGTCAGTTGGGTCTTCTTACAATTACACTGTGTCTATTTTGCATTATGCTCCAGATCAACGCAATGGTCGGACTTGAATTCAATAAAAAAAAAAAAGTATTTCTTTTCGGGGTTCAATGAGCCGTAATGACCACCCCTTGCACCAATACACAATTGACAACGCCCTTGCATGCTTCCAATACAACGTCTGAGGAGCGATTTTTCCTCTCACGATGTTAACTATTACGCAAGTCTGTGGTCTAGACTATTGATTGTCCGAGATATATTTACGCGACGTGTTCTCCTGCCCAGTTCGTCCAATAGGTGTTCCGTCGGGCTTAAATCAGGGGAGTTTGTTGGCCATTCCATATGTACGATATTGTGTTTGTTTTTGCAGACATCACTATATCGTTCGCGCCTGCGTTTGTACACATTAATTCGTCCATCCAAGAATCGAAGTTTAGATAAAATCGGGACTCGTCGGAATAAACATTAAGTAGGCCACATGCATGCTGTCAAACGAAGATGACGCCGAACACCCTTGATGGGACGCCTTGTCATTTGGTTTGTGGCATGTGACGATTGCAAATTGTCTGATCGGACACAGTAACACATGTTGCTATTCTTAGTTAATACTGCATAGGTCGTTCGCTAAATGTATGATTTATCAGTAAAAATCCTGATCAGATTATAACTTTTGGGTGCCCTGACAGATACAGAAGTTGTTAAATTAAATCGATTCAAAAGTATGGACAATTAACTTGGGGTAACTCCAAGCAAACCTACAACATGGTGTATAGATAAACATGGCTGCAACTTTCCTAAGGCATTAAATCTGTCATTATTGCTGAAGGACGGTCTTTTACCAAAAATCCACTTGAACCTCAAATTAACGACTAAAGACCATGCATACGAATGAGGACATATTGCAAGTGCTAATTTCAATTTTCAATTCTTTATTAACCAAATGTTTTACAACATATAGGTACATGTATAATCAATTTATACTAAATATAGATTACAAAAATATACGATCATGACAAAACAGACAGAAGTATTAAATACACAAAAAATAAATACTTATAAATATAATTCCAAAAAGCAAATATATGTAACAAATGAATTACAAATCAACTTACTGAAAACAGTCATTTCTGAGCTTCAGTGCTCTAAATATATATTTTCCTAAGTTGCACAAGTCTTTTACATTATTAGTGCTTAATAATTGTAAAAGTTTGTAAACAGATGGCTTACGCCAATAATATGGTTTTATCAAACATTCACGCAAATTTGAATATAAAGGACATGATAAAATAAAATGCATTTCATCCTCAATATCATCAATACACAATGTACAGGTTCTAAGGTTTCTTTTTACATTAGAATACCTTCCCTTCTCTATAGCTAGATTATGTGATGACAATCTAAATTTAACAATACACTTTTTGTAAATTTCGGGTATTGGTTTACATAAATATGACTGCAAAGAAAAATTTGATATCATATATCTATACAAAAAACATTTTGATGAACTACCTAAAGTAGCATCAAACTCTTGTTTGACAATATCGCATAGTCTCTGTTTAATAACCATAATATGATCTTTACATAAAGAAACTAGTAAGTTGTGTAACATTTCAAAAAACTTGTTCTTGCTTCCTAACTTTAATTAAGCAGTGTTTTATTGGTATAATAGTTTGAAAATTGAATATAAATTATGTCATTTCTTTCTTTAACCACAACCGAGCAAGGATACTAGTAATTCAAAGTTCCGAAAATCATAATCGAAACAATTAGTTTCAGGTAGGGATGGTCAAACAGATCTTTTATTCAATTATATGCGATCACAATATTATTGAGATACATGGATGAATATAGAAAAACCTAGTATACCAAAACTTTTGTGAATAGTGTATATTATCCTTCGTTACAGATTTATTTTCGCTATAATTCATTATTTCAAATTTAACTTATTTCGTCTATTCAATGTTAACGTGTTACTTTACAATATTCAAACAAGTTGGTTATTTTTCTTGTGTTTGTGTTTGTTTTTGTTTTTGCTTTGGGTTTTTTTATCATGGGGAGGGGCGATTTTTCGACCCCAACGTAGCGAGCGACAGAATGCTGTGTCAAGTAGAAAAAGAAAGTAGAGTTAATTTTAATATAACATTTGTACATTTAATATGTGATGAGTTAGAAACAATTATGATAATAAGTTACAATTATAATGGTTATTAGGACAATCCACCATTACTTATATTACAAAATTGAGGCAATTTGACAAAAAATATTGATTATAGTAACATTATATTTGATTAAGCATAACCAGTTGAAAATAACTGTTCCATTCATACATATAGATTAGTATTCTTAATATTCCAACTATTTGTCCCAAGTACTACAATATCAAAATATATACAAACAAATAAAATAATTAAAAAATTATGCTATCATCATTTTGGTTATTTTTTTACCTTCTGCGCGTTTGGGTAATTGCAAATGTACAGTTCTAGGTTATGTTATCCAAAATTTTATATTTGTTTAGACTCTATTTGAGTGCAAATTTTACGGATTCAGTAAAATTGACCCTTGGGAAGTGGTTTCAAGTTCAAACTGAAAAGGTTGAAAGTAAAATCATGATTTACATATGTTACGAAATTAGTGTAATGTTTGTGTATGTGAATATAATGCTGCCAATCAGAGGTCCTAAGTATTCTCATTCTTATATATAACCATGATAAATACTGAATTGGAATCATATAAGCTCTTAGTAGAATTGTGTCGTTCCAAGTATAGACTGAATGGTAAAATTTTATATTATCATTTATAATACATAATTTATAATACATAAAAATTCGTAAGGGTTCCGCGCAACCCAGTGTCTCGCCTACTTTTGCTGCTAGTCACAGGCTCAACAAAAATGATGAAAAGTTATTAAAAATTTTCCTATAGATACTATCTTTTGATTGAAAAAAGCTTCTGTCCAAGTTTGGTAAAAATCCAGAATGGTTTATGAATCTAACAAATGTTTTAAAAACTTTAACTAAAGACTGTATGTAATGTTAACTGGAAGAAAAACTAAGTCCATTTATAAGTTATATACGAAAAAAACAGGAAATAAATTTTTACAAAATTTCCTTCTAGATACTAGCTTTTGATCATAAACAAGCTTCTGTCCAAGTTTGGTACAAATCCAGGATAGTTTAAGAAGACAGATAGTTTTAAAACTTTAACCACAGAGTGAATGTAATGTTAACTGGAAGAAAAACTAAGTCCATTTATAAGTAATATACGGAAAAACAGGAAATAAGTTTTTACAAAATTTCCTTCTAGATACTAGCTTTTGATCATAAACAAGCTTCTGTCCAAGTTTGGTAGAAATCCAGGATAGTTTAAAGAAAGTTATTAAGATTTTAAAAACTTTAACCACAGAGTGAATGTAATGTTAACTTGCAGAAAAACTTAGTCCATTTATAAGTAAAATACGTAAAAACAGGATTTTTTTTATTACAAAATTTACTTCTGGATATATATCTACTATCTTATGATCATAAACAAGCTTCTGTCCAAGTTTGGTAGAAATCCAGGATAGTTTAAGAAAGTTATTAATATTTCAAAAACTTTAACCACAGAGTGAATATTTGTGGACGCCGCAGCCGACGACGGAATATAATGACAAACAGCTCATAGTCAAGATATAGTCTGCCTTGATACAGGCACACAATTATGATTTTTTTTTATAATTTTAAACTGAAGTATCTGATGCGGATCCAGGATTTTGAAAAAGAGGGACCGGGGCCCTAAATTAGACAACGTTTGGAGATATGACGCTCCATATGGGGGCCAGTACCCTGCCCCTCCCCCATATCCGCCTTTGCGTATGCCCTTTTCCGGAATCATGCGGCATCTTAATCCGAGCCTTAGCCAACAGTAATAACACCGGATATGTTTGTAGGTTTATTGTTCAGTTCAGGTAGATATGTATAACGATCATTTCCTGTTGCACAATGTGCATAATAACCATCACGGAGATAGCTGTTCTAACAAATACAATACTACAGTTTTGAAATCATTTTAAAATTTCAACCCTTATTGTAATTAATATTACTTAAGACTCCTGTACATTTTTAACTAATAAAAAATAATATCGAAGTATTTAATGAGCATCGAATACCTAATCCACGTGACCTAATCTAATTTAAAATTCCCCGAATTAAACCTCAACATATTAGTACGGGTTTAAATGGATTAAATATAATTATATTTATATACACCTATCATTATGTTATCAAATATTCAAGCATATAAATGAAATTCTATCATAAGTGTAAACATGCGTTGGCTTGATATTTACTTCACATTACACATAAAAAAGAGAATAACAAAGAAAATGTAAAACCTAACCTACAATGATTCATTCACTAACCTTTTCACTTGGAGTCCAGTTTATTCCACGAGATTTTTTAATTTGATAAACAAGTGCAGCATGTGATGTTTGCATATTCATTTTACTGATATATTCCATTCTTTCTAATGTTTTCATCGATGTTGATAATATGTCCGACTTTATATGTGTAACCTGGTTTTGTGTGTGTAGTAGTGTGTAAACTATAAACCGGATAATGTGGCGATAACCCAGATCAACAAAACCAGAATGAAAGGGCTCCAGTGGGTTTTTCCTGTGAGATATTTATAAACGTTATTCAGCTTAAACTGGTTTGGGACTCGGGTTAAGATTTTTTTTTAATTATTATGATACTAAATAACCGTTGAAATTTAATTGAACTGTTAAATACAATTACCTATATTATATGTGTATATTTTTAATATTTATCTTGATAATAGCGATAATGATATATATATGTGGGTCAGGGAATAATCTACAAAATGTGCAACTGATGATTATTTTTAAAATACTTTATTATTTTAGACTTGAAATAATTTCCCAGAAACTTATTATTTTCCCCCGTTTTTTTCTTCCAACATGACTTGAAAATTTTCACTGCAAAAATCAGACGACAGAATATTAAATAGAACAAGTATGACTTCAGCAGCTTGTAAAATCTGAATGCAAATATGTGACTATAAAGTGAATAAATTTAGGTTTTGAACATAATTTCCTTACAGCTGTGGTATTCTATAAAAGTAAAGAGGAGCATTACACACAGAGGATTTTATTTAACTAGCTGGCTCCTGCATGGTGAGAATCTACTGGTTCTGTAAAAGTCTCGGAAAATAACTGGTAAATAAATGCTCAACCGATCACGTGATAGAAGGGATAAGAAAATCGAAATCGCAATGCAATAGCAACACGTCAGGTGTACTGAACTAAATATAGTATGTCGACTTGGAGTATTTTCACAGGCGCTTGGGGCATGGCTCCCTTTTTTATTTTTTATTTTTTTGGTGTTTAACCTTTTTAAATCTTTTTTCACTTTAATATGTAATGCGTTCTTTATAGAGGGACAGTATATATAAACTACTGTTATATTGTAACATCGTATGGATGAGAGCAAGAAGACATTTAAAAAACTGAAAAATAAAAACTTGAAATTAATACTTTAAAAGAAAAAGAGGAGGAGGAGAAAAAAAGGGGCTCCATGCCCCAAGCGCCCGTGGTATTTTTATGATTTATAGTGTTGCCGGCTTGTGGAATCCGTCTGATGCCGTGATGTCATACAAGAAAAAAAGTAGTTTTATTTCGAACAATTTAGATCAAAGACATGTGTAATTATTGTGTTCGTATTCATTACACAGAAACTTTGCAAAAGATCATTTTGAAAGCGAAACATAATCTTAAACGTATTCAGCTGTGAAACTATTTCTAAAATATAATTTTATAGCATAATGATATTCATGAAAAAAAAAATAACATACCAACTCCTTGATAATGTTTTATTAAAACAATTTTAAAAAATCATGAAATGTGAAAAACGCACTAAAACATATTCTTGCGCAATTCAAACTCCTCATTTAACAGGACGAGCGAGCATTGTTTTTTTTTCTGTTTCTAGAAATAAATTTATATTAATAACACGAATTTCTAGTTTTGTTTTTACAAAATATCTCTCGCAAATAGGGCGCTTTTTTAATTTAAGGTATACTTTTCACAATGAGCTCCAGCATTTTGAAAGTACTCAAAATAAGATATCTTCCCAATATCATTGTTCAAGAAAGTCTGCAAGATAATGTGTAAAGCATAATTCTTTCCGGATGAAATAACATCAGGCGGAAAAAAATATTACATATGATATTTTAAGATTTTTCCGGAGGAAATTATTTCACTGTAAGATATTTTCAATTGACATGAATTTTTAATAAAAGCTAAAGTAGTGATTAAAAAACCCAAACAATTTTATTGTTATCGGAAATAATGTCAAATATGTTAATTGTATAATAATATCCGGAAATAAGTTTACAGTAAAATATCGTCCGTTTGAAACCAAAAAAAATCCATATCATAATCACAATATAAAAAGAAAAACAATAATCATGAAAAATATGTAGACAGTGGGATTGTATTTCACAAGCTTGTGTGAAATTATAACCGGAAATAATTTAAACATTTGTTAGTAAACAATAATATTAGGTTTTCATATTTACATCGGATGACCGTGAGGGCATTCCGGTGTATTGTTGCCACAGACATTTCTACCCACGTGACATTCGTTTTTGACTGATAACCGTGTAATTACGCGGATATTATCGTGTGCAAGATAACATTCCTTATCGCTTGTTATATATTAATTTTATCAATAAAATATTCATGAAAATAATTTTTAAGGACATAGATAAATGATATAAAAATGTTTTGTCGTGAGAAATATATATATCAATAACAAATCAAGAATACCGAAAATTTGTGCTAACGCATGCGGAAATATCTCAAGAACGTTTTGTAACAAACGCGGGAAAATATGAATGCCTACTCAAATCTATTAGAAAAACGAATTATTACAGAAGAGTGTCCACCATGCACTTGCACTGCACTATCATTAGAATAGTAGAATATAATGATATACAAATGGGTGGAAATTATATATAACTGTTATGCAAATATGAATATAATATATAACAACAAACCAGAGTATACTTATAACAAATAATTATATCACTACAATATAATAGTTATAACGGTGAGGTTGAATTCCCTGTCATTTATTCATCATTCACACACGAACTTGTCACAGAAAAAATATATCTATATGTACCTTAACCTAACTTTCAGGTATAGAGATGTGATTCAAGTTTTCTGAGACAAGTGCTTGTGACCATCCACCAGTACTTGCTGTCATCCGATGTTCAGTACTTCAGCTCTTTGATTGAACTTATTTAATTCATGTAGTGATTGTGTCTTGAAATATCAAAACTAAGTTTAAAACATTGAAATTTTGAACATATATATCATGTATGAGGGAAAGTGTTGTGAAAATGAAAGTTTGTTTTGATTTATGTTTTAGTACATATACCAAAACAACGTTTATGTTACTAACTTCCAGTCCCAATACAATAATAGTCTTATACAATTGTTATAGAAAATAAGGTGATGTATGGTTCCCAAGGAGACAACTCTCCACTAAAGATCAAAGGACAAGGGTGTGAACAATAGCCTGGCATCCTGACCCAATCCAATACTTCGTCGAGCAGTGAGCCAGGATCCCAGGCTATGTGAACAAGAACAGGTTATCGGACGGCCTTCAACAATGAGCAAAACTCAAAACTTGAAGTAAGCTATAAAAAGCCTCGGTGTGACAAAATGCGAAACAATTCAAAATAGAAATCCATTGACCTGGATTTCAAAGCCTCTGTATTAGAGCAGGCAACGAAAGAAAATATTTTTGTGCGTGCAACTCTTCTCCTAACCCTGGACAGTAGTAAACCATCCGTTGGACAGGGCTTGACCCATCAGATCGGTACCAAGCGCAAAACCACTAACAAAAAGAAAAAAACATAAAGTAGCCTACCAAACTTTAAAATACTCGCGTTAATGAAAGATACATATAAATAAAATGAGGAGATGTGGTATGATTACGACTATCCAACCGAGTCCAAAATGAAGCGGATTTAACAACTCAAAGTCCATATTTCCCTTTTAATTTTTATTCAATACTTGACGCCATCTAATGAACTACGACATGACCTCCGAAGACTGCCGATTGCTGATCTAATATACATAAATAAATATGAATAACTAAAGTATAATGACGTGTTTCATTTCCTACCATATCTTAAAAAGTGTACACATTTTTTTACCTATAACCTGTATAGAAATGGGTATTTTTCGAGGGAAAATCAGCTAAATAAATCTGTAAGATGGCAATCTTTAAAAAAGTAAACATTCTGAGCATATGCGTAATCATCTCCAACTGAGGTCACATCATAGGTCGCAAGCATATGGATCCATATGAGGTCGAATTAGTTCCATTCACAAATTTTAATCAAACTGACTGCTGACTATTTATTATTCAACATTCCGTTCATGTAAATGTTTGAAAAAACGTACTTAATTATCTATTAATACTTATATTATCAAAACGATAGCCAATGCCACTATAATAAAACAAATTCATACATTTGATGGTACATTTTATTTAATAAGATACACAGGGCTGTGCACCACGCAAACCACAATTTATAACATATCTAGCAAACACAAACGGGACATCTTGATGCATCAAATTTGATTCCTTTGTTACATGGCGCAATACACCGTACAGGAGCACACGTGGATGATGCATGAGTTGTTCTTGGAGCTGATGTAGTTGTAACTGTCGTTTGTGTCGAAGAGGGCGCTACTGTTTTCTGTAAAGCTGATGATTTTTAACAAATATAATTGCCTGTATTAAGATTAACTAAGTAGCATTTATAGAATTAATTCATAATGATAAATCCTTTGTAGCTATCTACATGATATAGTGCTTCAGAATAAAATTGCACACAAATACAGTCAGGCACACATTCATATTTCAAAATGAAGCACATCGATTTGTTGTGTTCCGATACGTATTTTTGGATAAAAGATTTCATCTGACAAAACATTCTACTGCGCCTAATATATAAAGCACTATCATAATCGGGAACTTGACATTAGAAACATTCAATGAATGCTATCGCGGTTGTCGTTTTGACGATTTTTTTCACGCTGCATTTAAAAGGAAATTGATTCCTACTGAAAAAATGAATTTGATGTCCTTGAAAAAATTGCATATAATTAAAACGGAATAGTTTATATGTTGCAATTAATATATCATGTGTAAAAAAATGTCCTTAGGAAATAACATTTTATTTGAAAAAAACATGCATTGTTTCACCAATATTTACGTCCATTCTATATATACATCTATGTATCGTTTTGACAATTTTTAATTGATCGTATCTGCAGAAGTATAAATGATACATGTCTGTCTTTGATATTCAGATATTTCATAGAAATCCAAAATACCACCGAAATAAATTTCTATAGTCATTTTATGTAGCTACCTGTACACACTGGACAACCATTTTGTATTGCAAAACTCCCTCTTGGACAGTTTACAGGAAATGCTTGACAAATGCCTGAAACGGTAAATCTAGGAATTTACCCTTTAACAAGGAAGCGCTACCTTATCTATATGTGATATCATTCTATACTTGTGTCATGTTGAAACCAAGACCCCAAAACCGATTCCCGCCGTTTTTTCTCCATTTTCTATTCTGCTAAACAAATATTTTTAGATTTCCTAGCCCACTATTCATTCGATCACACGGCATCCGTTGTCTTTCTTCCTTCACCTTTTCACCTTTTTTCAAATCCTCAGAAACTACAAGTCCAATTTAACCAATACTATTTGTAATGTTCATCTTCTGATTAAATGATAAACATGACTTCCAGAGGCAATTCTTGATTTTCGATTTTGTTGATTTTATCTTAAATCAGTAGAAAAAATGACCTCTCTACTAAACCAAATCTTTTCACACTTGGGAAGAATAAAGAATTGGGAACTCTTTACAAAATTTCCTACAGTACTTCTTGCTATATTCACGATGATGCTATATAGATTTCCACCAAACTCTATCGGAAATTATATTTTCATCGTTTTCTCTGAAACCATATCGCATGTTATTCTAAATTAGCCGGAAATTATGTTTTTAAGGGCTTTTTTTCGAAGAAAAAGTGCCATTTCCTTATCTACTGTTAAAGTACAAGACCGAATTCTTTTTTTTTTAATTCCATAGGATTGGTAAGAGGAGACCTCTACAAAAAAAATCCTCAATGAATATTGAAAACTGATAGAGCAGCATACAACATGACAATAATGTAATTGATCGCCGGGCTCTATAGGCAATGATACATTCTATCCTTGTTGTCAACTAATTTTGACATGAAAAATGTGTGAATGTTAATCTGGTTTTGACTTTATTTTGAATGGGCAATGTTCAAATTTATTTCAATTCTGAATCTTCAAGACTAAATCCTTTCAAAGTTCACACTGTGACGTAATTGATGATTGGGGCCCTTTTAAAAGATAAATGACTTCGAGACAATTTGGTGGCAAGCATCGCGGCCATAATGGCAGCATTTTGAAAAATGACATATCTTCTCTAAACTATTTTGCCAAAATATTCTTAACTTGTCGGAAATAATTTGTAAAATGTTTCTCTTTAAAAAAATTATGATGATCAGGGGTAATTTCTTTATTGTGAATGGTCAATGCATGTGTGTTTCACTGACCATTATTGACATGAGGCACTGATCCAGGTAAATGAACAGGCCCATTCGATATTCTAGTTTTGTTCACACAGAAAGTGGAACTTCAAAAGAGTTATACAAAATTTGTGAATCGGTAAGCAGGTATGCAAATTTTAGATTACATATTGTAAACATTTTAATTAGAAGGGTTTTTGTCTCGCCTTGGCGGAGTCAAAAACGAGACATAGGTATGCTGTTTCCGGCGGCGACGGCGGCGTCAACAATGTATTAGTTTGTGATTGCGTCTAGTTCATGGTGAACCACTAGTGGAAGGTCAATGATATATGGTATGCAGTTGTATTAGCATTGGCACATCTCATTACCATGGATATTATTTGGCCCCGCCCCCTCAGTCAAGGTCTATTGACTTTGAAACTTTGCTTAGTTTTCATGTATATTAGTTTGTGATTAGGTCAGTTTATGGGGAACCACTAGTGGAAGGTGAATGATATTTGGTATGCAGTTGTATAAGCATTGGTATACCGTATATCTCATTTCCATGGAGATTGTTTGGCCCCGCCCCCTCAGTCATGGTCTATTGACTTTGAAACTTTTGCTTAGTTTTCATGTATTAGTTTGTGTATAGGTCAGTTCAAGGGGAACCGTTAGTGGTAGGTCAATGATAATTGGTATGCAGTTGTATAAGCATTAGCACATCTCATTTTCCATGGAGAATATTTGGTCCCTACCCCTCAGTCATGGTCTATTGACTTTGAAACTTTTGCTTAGTTAACATGTATTAGTTTGTGATTAGTTCAGTTTAAGATGAACCACTAAAGTTAAGTCAATGATATTCGGTATGCAAATGTATTGGCATTTGCAAGTTTCATTTCCATGGAGATTATATAACCCCACCCCCTAATTATGGTTCATTGACTGAAACTTTTACATAGTTTACAAGTTAATGTTTGTGTTTAGGTTTGTTTAAAGGGAATGACTTATGAAAATTCAATGGTATTTGGTTTGCAGTTGTATTAGCATTGGCACATCTCATTTCCATGGAGATTGTTTAGCCCTGTACCTTCAGTCATGGTTCATTGACTTTGAATATTTGCATAACTTACATGTTAAAGTATTGCTATTTAAATTTCAACATTTGCATTATCAAAATAACAAATAGGCGAGACATATCTCTGTGTTATTAATACATAATGCCGTTTCTCATATTTTACGCTGCGAAGGTTTGGTACGCTCTAACACAGATAGAGGAAGAATATTTTTCTGTTGTGTACAAGTTAATATTGTAGAATGTACTTGTACTTCAATACCTGTTAGTTGCATATATACATGTAGTTAAGTTTGAGTTGCAACATTAACTTTGACTTTGACTTTATCATCATTTATAGAAAGGCGGTTGTTTCAGTTGTAGCATTAACTTTATGATTACCTGTGAGCTGTGAAGCTTTCTTTGCTGTAGTCATTTGTACACCTATTGTAGATACACTTGGTTGTGATGTTGTCGGTGTAGATGTTACAGATCCTACAGACTCTGGTATAATAAAAATAAAGAAACACGAAAGTAGCAAATACGAACGCCATTTTTCATTACAAAGAATAGTATCTGAAGATTCCTACAGACCCTAACATATAAAGTGAGGTTAAAATGTATAAAATTGAAATGCATATAATATTAGTATATCAGACCGACAAGGAGAAAAGTTTTGGACAGTAGAATTTGAAGTGTTTTAAATCTATCAATTTTTGTTTTTCAGATGTCACCCGAGTTCATCCCCGGTTTTATAGTAGGGTTCGTGTTGTCCAATATTATTTTCCTGTATAGCGTTTTGTTTACTGTCGATTGTCGCTTCGGTAATTTGTTAGTGTGATCGTGACGGTATTTGTCTTTCTTCAACTTAAGGGTTGTTTGCGCTCTATACATAGTATCGTCAAACCATTTTTATGCAGGTTTAGAAAAGACTTTCCAAAACATTACCTGCACGAAAGACCTATGATCTTTTTGGAAGGGACAATTATTCTTTAAGAAAAAGAATTATGAAAAGTATTTTTCGTTTTTTAGTATTTTTCGTTTTTTAGTCTTTTTCGTTTATTGTTTTGTACATAAATCAGGCTGTTAGTTTTCTCGTTTGGATTGTTTTACATTTGTCATTTCGTGGTCTTTTATAGCATGCTATGCGGTATGGGGTTTGCTCATTGTTGGAGGCCGTACGGTGACTTATAGTTGCTAACTTTTACGTCATTAAGTCTTCGGTGGAACATCTTATTATTGGCAACCTTTCCACTCCTTATTTTTTTTTATAGTACCAATAATATATCAGATAGTAGATAAAAAGGTTGACTAATCTACCCACCAACACTGTTACACTATGATACTTTTGCCCATATTTGTTGCTGTTGTACTTAATATCAAAATGTCCTCGTGGTTGCACAAAATTATATATATCTTTTTGCAATGATTTTCCGAAAAAACAATGTTTTTTTTCACTCACGGCAGCTGCTGATGCAAACGATACAGCCTGTGACCGAATCAACCTCTTGACAGGACATGGGACATTTCTCTGGATGAGAATTAACGCATCTGCCGGGAAGATGGCTGTTACCAGCACCGCCACCATTCAAACTGGTTCCTGTTCACAATGATTTAAAGTACAAGTAATTTGTGATCAGCTGATTAAAGATTAAAGATAAGTAATTTATATAAAATTATGAAACATTGGCCAAATTTATACCATAATTTGTACTTTTAATTGCTTACCTGTTCGGTAAACATATCCTCCCTGACTACCGTATTTACTATGTATTTGGTCCAAAGAGCCAGTCATATCTCCAGGGACCTGTTTATGTGGATTTTGTCCCGATTGCGTTCCAATGTTTGCTGGATTTAGAGATCCTGATCCCGACAATGTTGCTGCCATGTTTGCGGGATTTTTAGTCCCTACACTACCTATTCCTGTGCTAGTTGAACCTGAACTAGATAATGATCCAGCTAAGTTTGAAGGGTTCTGAATTCCAGTATTTCCACTTGCCCCAAGCATTGTTTGCATATTCGCGGGGTTTTTAAATTTCAATCCAAACAATTCAACATCCCTTCGTTTTACTTCCGCAACGACTGAAAGTTTTTTAAATGGCATTTTACATATAAATATAATAATTGAAATCTGAAAGAATTTGATAATTGAAATCTGAAAGAATTGATAGTTGAAACATGAATGAATTGATAATTGAAACATGAAAGAATTGATAATTGAAACATGAGGGACTTTACTAGTTCCTTATTTGTATAATATGCAGGGCCTGATTCATACTTTGAACGCATCTGAAAAAATACTTTGCAGCGATAATGTTTTAAAATAATTTTCTAGTAAGATATAGTAAAAGAGCAGCTTGTGTTATTTTGTCCTCTCAATTTCATTGCATACGGATTTTTGTCGCCCCTTCTCTTTCCGGATACACGATCTTTGCGGATTTGTTAGTGCTACATCGCCGCCCTAGCTGTTGTTGAAATCCAAAATGTTGTATCCAAATGCCCCAGTATGTATACCAATTGATTTATTAAAACAAGACATTATTATAACAGTAACTGGTGATCTTTATTGGCAATACTTTTACTAGTTGTACAGCAATTTATACCCATTTCAGATAAGGTCAAGCCCAGTATTTTGGATTACAAATACATTGAAAACAGACAGTTAACGTAAAACAATGAATCAATAATTTCTTCAAATTGAAATGTGAACATTGTTTTTGCTTAAGTCGACGCTTGGGACTGTTATTTTGTTGTGACTGTCGGGAAGAAACACAGAAGTTAAACCGCTCCGTTCCCTAATGATGTATGCTTCTTCCCAAGACAATTTTGGGTACTAGTATGTTGTCTAACATCTACCTCGTATGCCTTTTATCCTATTGTTTATATTGTAAAACTGTATCGTTGATATAACAACTTACCCGAGTAAAGACAAATGAACACAATAGTTAAACCTCTCATTGTTTACTTTAGTATAGCCTTATATTAAATTAATGGCTTATAGAATCTTATCACATATATATAGATAAGTTCGTATTATTTATGTCGTATAATTGCCTTTGAACTACATTCACTTCAACTTACCAGAAAGTTATGTGTATATATATTTGTACCTGCAAAGTTACAGTCAAGTTGGTTTTCAAATGGACGACATTACCTCCCAAAAGAATAACAAAAACAAAATGAATAGTATTTAGTTTGTAATACTTTGTTAGTTTATCCTTTGTTGGATAGCAATGACAAATGTCAACGCCATTGTTAAACAAGTCTACTGTTGAGTAAAAAGAATCATCGTGTTATTGAAAAAGAGGGATGTATTTATTTAAAATTATTTCTTGTCATATTTACACTTGTATTTTGAGTAAATTCAATTTTTCTATTAAGAAATAACAGGAAACGTAAAACTGTAAGACAGACCCATCGTAAACTTAACAAGGACTTCCATTCATTCGTTCTTTCGTTCTTTCATTGATAGCAAAATTTCTATATTACGCAGTTAAGGGGAGCGGATCCAGGATCTTTGAAAGGGGACGTTACTCCATAAAACTGAGAAAATATCGCCGAACGTTTCGAGGCGAAAAATATTTTTGACGTACTATGCTAAACAAAACACCCTTTACGCCCCTTTCCCCCTGAATCCGCCGCTGCTGGTTCGTCATCATTCATTTCCATGTGTATTTCTATTTTTCTATAATCCGCTTAAGTTTAATGAAGCTATTAAACACACGAAAGAACTGAAATTTCTAAATAAACGACATTTCCAGTTTCGTAAAAAAAATATTGAAATTAATACATATTAAGGGTAAGTTTTTGAAACAAAATCATATTAAAGATATTCCTTTTATATTGTTTTACCAATCGTATAAGTCAAAGCGGATTATCGTTTGATAAAGAATTAAAGTTTGTTTTCAAATGTGTTACAGAACGATTGTAAAAGAATTAATAGATTAAGTATTAAATGTTTACATTTTGAAAAAAATATACAAAGATTTTTATCAACGCCATATATAATTGCTTTTTAATTTTATCGTTACCATTTTTTGTTGAAATGAATAGAATTTGCGCATTTCTTCTTTGTTTTACTGGAATTTGCATTCTTACCTGTAAGTAGTATTAGTATTACACAATGAGACCGTGGGTTTAAAGAGATAATGTCTAGAAATAAGCAAGTCTTGGTTGTGCCTTATTTGATCACCTGGTATTGCTTTTAGATGTGCCGTGATTATGAGAATGACTAATTAAATTAATATTCAATGTTTCAGGATGTGTGACTTTTTATCATTGTGTAACTTTATCATTAGAGACCACCTCTAGAGTCATCCCTAGACTCCTCCCACTCGTCAGTAAAATCCATGCTAAAGAGGGGTGTCCGTTTTGGTTGAGCAGGATGTATTAATACCAATCCACCTCCGGTTAGAATTGGGATATTATCAAATCCAACGCCTCGTGTAGGCCTAGGGCGAACGCCACAATGACCCCTGCAACAACTTTTTGAGAGGTCCATATGTGTTATGTTGCATGGCAAAATTTCAGCCCCAATCAAGCATACCCTTTTCAAGGCAATGAAAAGTGTCATGTATGTTCTTCAACATATAATGACATGTAAATATGCACCTCTTTGAGAAAAATCAAAGATTATATTCTTATGCTGTCTCAATAACGATATAATAAAAGTTTAGAAATGTGATTTTTAGTTTTCAAATGAATAATCTCTTGATTCTTTTTCAGCTGTTGTGTCCAGTGAGGTAGAATTTACTGAATGTGTAGACTATATATTTAGCAGTTCCTGTCAGGAACTAGATGATGCTTCACGTGAAATGTATGGACAATCTATATGTGACAATGACCAGCTACCTCATAAATGTTGCATATGTTTGACCAGTGGAAGAAAGTGAAAAGAAGATTTCCATTTCTTTCTAATGTAAAGGTATAATGCACTTTTAAAATGATTTTCAGCTGAGGAAGCAATGTATCTTAGATATATAGAGAGGACCAATTCCCCCCCCCCCCCCCCCCCCCCGACTTTATTTTACATCAGTGCTATTTCCGAAAAATCTTGAATCACAGTGTCACAGCCTGTGTATGTACTTCGAGGTTCCAACAATATCATGGGTTATTTCTAAACAAATTATCAGAAGATAGTTTAAAGCTACAATTTTGAAAGATTCTGGCAAATTTGGTGTCTTTATCCAAAAAAAATTATAAGAACAGCTATTAATTTTCTTTCGAATACACATTTATTCATTTTGCTGCGATTCCTTCGATGCATATTTTACAAAAGCATATAAGGATTGCAATTTTGTGTAAAAAATGCCATCCATAGCAATATGTCGCCTTGAATAACATTTCATTGTAATGGATATATATATATATACACTTTTAGATTTTTACCCTGGGAGTGAAACAAATACAGAGGAAATTTCTTCCTCCTCTTTCCGTCGGGTTGAAAATTTTTCAAAACAAAATGAGGCAATTCATCACTGTATCCTAGATTAAGTCTGAAAGTTGAATTTGATGATCAAAACAATTGTTTTTGTACAAATTGTTAACTTAAGTACAGCGACGTTCAATAACGACTAACTAATCCAAGGCATATAGTCCTTGTCTGACGATGTTTATTTATATTCGACCCGATACAATATGAACAGAATTTTCATATCTTATAGAAGGGGAAATTAAACTTCATGGAAATTTCCTAAACCGCCAATAGCAGCAAAAATTGTTTTCGAAAGTATCTATAATATGTTAGTAAATCATTTGTGTACGACTTATGAGGTACTTACACCTTAGAATAAGATCAAATTCCTGAAAGAACCCCCTCCCTTTTTTTCTAAATTATTGAAAACTATACCATTTGGCATAAACCGTAATATGGTGTAAATTAGAGGTACTCCATCGGGTTATAGCACCATATCTAGTACACGATCATTCAATCATTTGTGTCATGCCAATACGATATCCGAAGCTTTAATTTATAGCACTGGTATATACATAATAGGATTATGGATATATGTTTTAGTAATACCCGTTTTCTTTGTTAAGCTGGGTTAATTCGTTGGGAATTATTAGTGTTTTATGTTGAGCCATGGGTGTAAGTGATTTCTAATTTATTATAAATTAGAAAGTTTAAACATATAGACATTGATTTGAGTCATTACTTTTACTAAAGTTTGGGGGTTAAGTGAAACAGAATTAGCAATGAACAAATTATTTTTGTTAGTTATTTTTGGACTCCTACTTGTAACATGTAAGTAAAACGTGGTAAAATGTTATGCTTCATGAAAAGTGTTATGGCATGAAATTTTGAACCTTTTTTTTTTTCTGATAACAGATATTTCAATTGAATTGTCCATGGTTGTCCATACCATAGATAATTCGTTCTTTAAAAAGAGTTTGTTTACAGAGCGGAATTACTCAGTAAATACTCGAGGTTACATTCAGACAAGATTTGTTTCACGACTGAAGAAGGTTTTTGGTAGCCATCATAATGTGTGCTGTTTGTTTGTAATGTTTTTGTTGGTATTTTTTTGTTTGCAAAATAAGCAGATGTGGTATGATTGCCAATTAGACAACTATACATTAGTCCAAAATGACTGAGAATGTATTTTTGCTTGGTGTTTTTTTAGTCCCCTACAGATGAAGACAAAGGGAACTAAAGTGTCCGTCCGGTACGTTTTTTGCACCTTTTGCTGTAATGTCTAAATCTGTTGGTTAGACAAATGTTATATAGTATCATAATAAGCAGAAACAGATCGAGATTAAGTCGTTCCGGTTGAAGATTTTTTACCGAAGTTGTGTTGACCTTGGACATCGTTATAGCTCGAAAATAACAGTTTCCCGTATCGATATGAATCTTACAGAACAAGTATAAGTTTGTTTCTGGCTGAGCGATTTTTGTGGAAGTCGTGGACTAAAAACATAGAAAATATCAGTTTTTCCACACTTTCTTCTTTAATATTTGGTATAAATTAAGTCTTATCATGATAATTAAAGATCTTGTTTGATTTTTATAACGTTTAGTTGATGTTTACACACAGAAGTTGTGGTCAAGGACATAGAACATTGCTTGAAAAATATGTTTTCTGCAATGCTTGAATCATTTGAGCAGATATTTGGAGTATAATATAGTCAAATCATTAAATTAAATATCATCTCTAGTTTTATTTTTGTTTCGGTTGAGCGATTTTACGGAAGATGTGGCCCTAAAACATTGGCTTGAAAATATCCGTTTTCCACTCTTTTCCCTGTAATGCCAATATAAATGCTGCTTTTGCATCCCATAGATAAAACGGGTAGTTTGATGAAGTTCACCAAAGAAAGCATAACAACAATAGTTTGAACAAATTTCTACACATATCAAACTTGTTAATATCATATAGTTTTACTGCTGACTTTGAATTTCTCTATTAACCAAACAAATAACAAGAGACCATGAAACCAACTAGCTCCTTGCTAATGACAGGCTCATTACATGTACAAATATCGGGGTTGATCCATCTTCGCTAGCCAAGGGTTAGATATGGACCCTCCTCTTAAATAGGAGCCATTTGATATACAAGTCAAATTTTACTTTGTAATCATAAAACTTATAAGTCTTTTAACATATTTTTTTGGCTCCACACGTTTCAAATATTAATGCCCTTTCATCTAAATACGGCTTCTGCCACAAGCCTACCTGAATGAGCTTAAGAATTCATTATAACAATTATTCCGGTACGCGTTCACGTACACGCACTTTTGCTTATATAACCTCTCTGTTATTTTCTTAAACGCCCACCAATAATTGAACAATTAGTGTCCAAGTCCAGACATGGAAAGATATCCATGTTGGTTTGAACCCGTGAAACATAGATGATTTATTGAATACCAGTACCTGCATTATGGTATATATAAATGCAGAGAGGATTATATCCATGGAATCTGTAATAACCTAAGCTGAATGAGTTGTATTTGTTATAATGAGTGAAAACAAAATACAGATGGTTCACCGACAGTACTATTATACTATGTTAATCGATGTCTGTTCATCATGTAACACGAGTATAGTAATATATATGTCTCTGATGCAACTATAACTTTAATATTAGTCTTGGTCATGTCGATTCGTTCGTCAAAAACTAACAAAATAAAAATCTTGACCAGCTCGATCTTTACATAATGAGATATTGTTATGTTTTTCATATGAAAGTTTCTATCCTTTACAGATTTTACAGACGCAGTATGCTATGACTATGTTTTGAATACACCATGTACAGAATACGATCAGTATTTCAAGAACTTGGATGGAAGCTCTGTCTGTGACAATCCTGATCTGGCTGCTATCTGTTGCATGTGCCAATCTAATTAGGCATGAATTATTCCTTTTAATTTTTAATGTGAATAAGAATAAACAAACTAGTTTTATTTTGATTTTGATTTTACAATGTTATTGAATTCTTGATTTTGTCTATTTTTGTATCAATCTGTCTCTTTATCTATAATTAAACTGGCTACTGATCATTGTTCTTATAGCTATTGAAAGAATTCCATTAAATGATAACTTATTTAATGTACAATGAATTATACTTGTCGTCTTTTTTCTAATATTATAATGTAATTGGTTTTTATTGTGTGTTTTACTTTTAACACAAATGGTCTAGATTTTTTGTACATAAATTCGGCCGTTAGTTTTCTCGTTTAAATTGTTTTACATTGTCATTTCGGGGCCTTTTATAGCTGACTGTGCGGTATGGGCTTTGCTCATTGTTGAAGGCCGTACGGTTACCTATAGTTGTTAATTTCTGTGTCATTTGGTCTCTTGTGGAGAGTTTTCTCATTGGCAATCATACCACATCTTCTTTTTTATAGATAGTCATGAGGGTTTAGGATGTACACGTTAAAACTGGTATAACCTCACCACATGTTTGCCCGGCTGTACCCAGGCACTTGTCTCGGATTTGTTTAACCTATATAGATCTAAAGGTATAAAGGTAAATAGGTAAAAAAAAACTAAGAGACAAGTGCCTGTGAAGCTGCACCAAGTCAGGTTATCTGGACTATGTGTTGTTCGTTGAAGCTTCATATGTCTGTGCTGAGGTGGTTGCTGTGGTCTGTTGTATTGTCCAATAGTTTTGGTTTTTTAGTTGCCCTTTATAATGATACATATATAATCCATATCTTCTGTGTCTTTCGTATATTCATGCATTAATTATGACTTCTTTTTGTTCTTTGTCGGAAGTAATTTTGCTTTATCTTTAAATTGTTTGATCAATATTCCCTACTGTTTTCACAGAATTATATTGTCTGATCAAAATATTGGGCCTCATTGTTTTTAATTTTCCATATAGTCCTACAAATACCACTACATATTTTTTACGCAACAGTGGTGTGCTGAACATTAGATCGGATGCGTACACATTCCTATTGAAAATATACAAAGGTAAACAAAATTTCAATACAAAATCAAAATTTGCTTGTGACTATTTGAGGAGGAAAGAATGGAATAAACACGCATGCATTATGAATTGGACGATGTATATACGCATGTCTTGTTGATTAAAATATAGAAATAAAGACATATTTATCCTATTATGGATTCAACATACCCATTTTCGTTCAACTAAATCTATCGGTTTTTTTGTAGGTCCCTATTCTGAATTTCACATTACGTCAATGAGACCGCAACCCAACAACACAAAGAAAACAAACATCAAGTGGTCAATATACGATATTCAACAGCTGACAAGTGCCTATATACAATAAGATCATCCACCAAAGTATGGACCCACGAGGCCATATTACTCATAAACAATATGGTAAGAAACATTTACAGAAAAACAATATGTTCGCTCCCATTCTAGTAAAAGACGTACATACATTTAACCAACTACCAAATCGTTTACGACACTACCCAATACCCCTGACAGACTAACCCGAGTAATCTAGCCGCTCACTATCGATCGTTTATTGCGCACTACAGGACGCAAGATCATTTTCGAGGTATCAAATGACAAAAACACATTCAGATAGGTCGCAACTAATGTTTTAGATAAGTAGTTGTTGCCGCTCATTTCTGGCTGAAGGGTGGTAAAAGAGTAAATTTATAATAAAAAATATAATTCAACTCAACTTTACCAAAAATGCATCGTAACTTAACATTGAAAGCAGTACATTAATCTGTATATAGTTTACCAGTCGTCTTATTTTCATGCATTGCCAGCAGTATACAGAAGTGATATATCATTCGCAGTTTTATTTTATTAGACCAGTTCCAAATACCCATCTAGATTTTGACTAACATTTCCTTTGTACTTTTCCGGAGCATCTTCGATCCCTCCGGTTTTTGGTGGGGCTTATACATGTAACGTTACTGTTACAAACTTTAAATGGAATTTTACCAGTTTTTCTTAATTGTTTAACTGCATTTATACAATTAAACCATTGGCCATCGTCCTATCATCATCATTTGTTTTTGAGTTCTGGTTTCGGCCTATTTGCTTAGTAGAAACAATTATATATGATTTAAATTTGAATTGTATCACATTTCATCATCGCGGGCCTTATATAGCTGACTAAACCGTATTGGTTTTACTCATTGTCGAAGGACGTACGGCATAGTTGTTTACATCTACATCATAAGGTCTCTGGTGGATAGTTGTCTTTTCCCCCATCTTAATTTGCAATCGTACAACATCTTAATTTTTATGATTAAAACTTATACATTCAAATGTTGAATGCCGTTATGTCAGCCGATGATAAACGGTAGCATGACTTAAAAGGTGAAGTGTTAATACTGGCGTGAAACATCGATATATGTATTGTCAACAGTTATGTTCAATATATTTATAAATGATTTAATTAGGATATTTAGTCCTTAAACATTGTATTGGTAAACAATGTACTGTTGGTGACAATCTTGCTATATTCTGATGATATAGTTTTATGATGGGATTCGGTAACCATCAGGTGTTTTAAAACAGTTGACCAATATTTTTAGACACTTGTCCAGATGTGCAAAATTGGAAAAGAACTTATCATAAGGTTTATAAATGGTCTGAGATGAAATGGAAGTTGTAAATTACATAAGGCTAGTGTTACACGTGACGTTCCTACGTTGCAGAAATGTTAAAATCTTATGATTCTGAAAAAAAATATTGTAAAGTAAGTAATAATTTGTTCGATAGAAATACTATATCTAGTTAAAAGAGAAAATGTTTGTTAAACATTATAATGGTTGGTGTACAAGAATTATGTCATATAGTAATGGTAATGAACTGAGAACATACACATTTAAAAAAAATTCATTCATAAAACTGAGCAATATTTGCTACAGAATATGCCACTACGTCACCGTAGTGCCTTTTCAGGATTGAGATGAGGTGTGCATCGTAGCACTATTTAAAACGAACTTGACTGGTTGTTTTAAGTGTGGTGACTATTTAAGAAGATGAAAACAAGTACTTTTAAAATCATATTCATAGATCTAAAGTATGCCATATTTATTGATACATTTTATTGTGATCAACAGTTTTGAGTTTTTGAATTTCTAATAAAGAAAAAACATATATCTATATAATAATAACAACAATACTTGTAAGTATTGATGCCAAAACCTGCCATAACATTTTAACATGTGAGAAACAGTATGTCATATCATTAATTAATCTTTTACATGTTTTATATGATTAAACAATAATATTTATTTATTTATTTATTTATTTATTTATTTATTTATTTATTTATTTATTTATTTATTTATTTATTTATTTATTTATTTATTTATTTATTTATTTATTGATTGATTAATTGATTGAACTGGAACTATCGGAATTATTTCACAGGTGGCGAACAGGAAAAAAGATGTTATGGGCCGAAATTACCAACGTTTCCTGAACTATCTGAATACCAAAAACATTTCACAACTTCCTGTTTACATAAATATCAAAATGCTGAGCCTGGTTGCATTTATATTCCTTTCGAAATAACTGAAACAGCTACGTCTGTTCCAAACAGACTGGTTTTCAGTAAGAAAATTAATACAAAATCCAAAAATTAAATCAAGACTCAAATAAAACCATACTGCATCGATGAAAAGCTCAAAATATATATATAAAAATTTCAGTATAGGGACCCTAGTCCAAATAATTATGACGTCTTGAAAGGCTCGTAGGAAGGCGTCCCAGAAAAAATTAAAATGGCCTTTCAAGATGTCATAATTATTTGGACTATATGGACCCCTAAAGTAAAAGAAGGCCGTTGATTGTGGCCATTATTTATCTGACAGGAGCAGAGACATCTATATAACAGCTTATGTTTGAAATGTTCGTCAATATGCCGAATCCAAATAATTTTTTAGGTACTTACTAAGCTCAACCGATCAAACTGAACAAAACCAAGGAAAGAAAAAAGTAAGACCCTTCATTTATAATCCTAGGCTATGGGATTTTGGGTGTGGAGTTATTTTCTGATTTGGCTGTAACAGAAATTTTAATCTTACTACCTCACCTCAAACTGCTGCCTTGTACATCTACAGTACCATTCTGTTAACTGAAGCAGGTAAGAAATGAATCAAAGACATGTTTGCCATTCAGAATCTTTTAATATTAAGAGATAATTGTTATAGCTCTACATTTGTATATGTCTTTGGATATAAGAATAAGGACATGATTGCCAATAAGACATCTATCCACCAAAGATCAAATGAAGTGGATGTATGCAATTATAGGCAATCGTACGGCCTTCAACAATGAGAAAAAACCACACTGTATTGTCGGCTAAAAAAGACCCAGAAATGACAAATATGAAACAATTCAATGGGAGAAAACTAACGGCCTAATTTATAACAAAATAATTTATGAAAAACAAATATATGACAGACATGAACCAACGACAACCACTGGACTAAGGCTCCTGACTTTGGACAGACACATATAGAATGTGGCGGGGTTGAACCAGTTTGAAGGCTACAACCCCCCTCCTCCTAACCTGGGACAGTTGTGTAACGGCACAAACCAAGAACAAACTATGCAAAACAATAAACGAAAAACAAAAATGAGAAACAGCAAAAAATGACAAACCAAATTACAGGCTCCTGACTGGAGCTCATATAACCAAATAGAGCTATTTAAGCTGAATTTGTAGATTTACCAAACCTGATGATATGTCTTAATCAAAGAATTGTATAGTATTCTTTGCATCATAATTTATCAGATGAACCCCCCTCAACCCTTAAGCTGCCCCCCTAATAAAAATGAAAAAAAAATGTTTCTATTATAGTAGAATCATCATGATCAAAAATTGTTAAAAAATCATCATATCAAATAAACAAACATGAAAATCTAAATTCAAAATAGGGGAAGAAGATAGTACTAAGAGGCAAGAGGGTAATCTAAATCTTTAAATCATGGCAGACTGACACAGCATGATGTTAGGTCACTTGAGCACTCTTGATAGTGATTAAGTACTCAAATACCTCTTTGTTTACTTGCAAAAACTAATCTAATAGAATATCTAGCTATAATAATATACCTCTGTTTTACATCATCTAGCTTTTAAAAGACAGTATCTATTCTTTCAGTTATTATTGAGTAATGATACATTTGTGTGTAAATGTATCTCAGGCAGTCTCATTAAAAGAATATGTGATTGAGTTGTGATTTTGAAGAAAATGTTCTCTGGTGGAGAGTTGTCTCATTGGCAATCGTACTACATCTTCTTCTTTTCATATGATAAATTATGTTTGACATCATTTCAGGAGATAAAGTAAGAAAAAGATTACAATAAGAATACTTTAACATTGGAAGTCAGGGTAGGTCTCCATTGAAAACTTTGAGCAAGTTCAAGGTAGACTATTTCTAAAAGCACCTTTAAGGAGGGGAAGTTTATGCATAAATAGAGTTTTCATTTATTTTTAGTTGTGTGCTATAAAAAGTAACTATGGCAATGGAATCTGAAGTGTTGGACCATACTTTATGTCAGGAAATGGCCAAATATGTTGAGGAATTAACCACCAGTGGAAGACCAGCCTTAAATCCTGATATAATGAAAAGTTTCAAGAAAATTTGCAGGTAGGATATTCTGCATTATATCAATATACATATACATCATATACATTTAATTTAAATGCAAAGGTTATATCTAAAGAGAAAAATAAAAATGAATTAGAAAATTGAACATTCAATTGCAGCTTTTCAAAAACATATTTAAGAGAAATATAAAGTGTTAAGCAAGATGATATGTATCCTCCTAAACTTTGAGAATGATGTACAAATGTATAGCTATAAACGTATGATACCAGTTTTATTTCTCAGGACACATGTTTCTAGAATAACTATCAGGCATACTTCTGACTGTTTGAATACTGATCTTAAAGGGGTATTAGCTGTCAAATTCATGTTTACCAATTTGACTCAAATTCTCTTTTTATACGACAGCAAAAAAATTTTGCAGTCGTATATTGGTATGACGTTGGCGTCGTCCGAAGACACATTGGTTTTCGCACTCTAACTTTTGTTTAAGTGAATGGATCTCTATGAAATTTTACCATAAGGTTCAATACCACAAAAGGAAGGTTGGGATTGATTTTGGGGGTTATGGTACCAACAGTTAAGGAATTAGGGGCCAAAAAGGGGCCAAAAATAAGCATTTTTGTAACTTCCAGACATAACTTGTGTGTTAGTGTATGGATCTCTCTGACATTGTACCACAAGGTTCCTTATCACAAAGGGAATGCTGGGATTGATTTTGGGGGTAATTGCCTCAAAATTTTAGAAATAAGGGGCAAAAACAAGCATTTTTCTAGTTTCATGACAATAACTTGTGTGTAAGTGTATGGATCTTTCTTAAATTGTACTACAAGGTTCCATATCACAAAGGGAAAGCTGGAATTAAGTTTGGGGGTAATTGCCTAAAACGTTTAGGAAAAAGGGGCCAAAAATAAGCATTTTTCTAGTTTCCAGGCAATAACTTATGTTCAAGTGTATGGATCTCTTTGAAATTGTACTGCAAGGTACCATACCAATAAGGGAAGGCTGGGATTGATTTTGGGGGTAAATGCCTCAAAATTTTAGGAATTAGGGGCAAAAAACAAGCATTTTCTAGTTTCAGGACAATAACTTGTGTGTAAGTGTATGGATCTTTATGAAATTGTACTACAAGGTTCCATATCACAAAAGGAAAGCTGGGTTTGAGTTTGGGGGTAATTGCGCTAAACGTTTAGGAATTTGGGGCCAAAAAGGGGCCAAAAAAAAAGCATTTTTCTAGTTTCCAGACAATAACTTGTGTTCAAGTGTATGGATCTCTCTGAAATTGTACTGCAAGGTACCATACCACAAAGGGAAGGCTGTTATTGAATTTTGGGGTGATGAATCATAAGGGGGTTCAAAACATTTTTGGGAAGGGGGGAGATTTTTTTAAATGTTTTTTTCCTTATTTTTCTTTAAAATTTTCCATTTTAAATTGGTTATTTCTGATTTATATATAAAAGCAAATAATAATGATATGGTTTGAATAGGTAAATTAAAATTTTCTTAGACCACATTCATTCTGTGTCAGAAACCTATGCTGTGTCAAATATTTAATCACAATCCAAATTCAGAGCTGTATCAAGCTTGAATGTTGTGTCCATACTTGCCCCAACTGTTCATGGTTCGACCTCTGCGGTCGTATCAAGCTGCACCCCAGTGGAGCATTTTATTGATTTATAACATACTAAAACGTATATCCAAATTTTAAAAAGTGTAAAATAAACAATTTACGATGCATGGACTTGATAATATGTATCAGCATTTCATGTGTATTTTAGTCTAGACACCATCTAATTAACCATGGAGGTGACCTCCTAAGATGGTCGACAGTCATATAAACATAAATATAGATATAAATAGATAGTGAACATGTGCAATAGGATTTTTCTATGTCTGTTTGATTTCATATAATAGGTTAAAAAATATGTTAATCATCGTTTTTACCTGTATAAGAATGAGTTTTTGTGGTTAGAATCAGTCAACCAAATGGTTTACCCTTGTTTCACTTTCAATGTTGATTCTTTTCCTTTTAATAGCTGAACCCGCCTAGTTTATGCATAACCCATCTCTAGCTAAGGGGTCAAATTGATGGTCACATGAATACAGATTTAATGAGGTCGAATTATTCATTTGCAAGTGAATAATTCATCAGTGATGTTTCTTAGCTTATTTTGACAGAATTGAACCAAATTGGCTCCTAAAAACGAATTATTATTTCACTTTCATTAATGATTGAACAAAAAAAAAATCATATTTTAATTTTTGTTATATCTCGTAGCTAATTTTCCTTTAGTCTATAACAAAGATAAATATGAGAAAACAGTTCTTGTCCTGCTATAAGTATAACATACTTATTCACAAATGATAGGTATCAATTTAAAGATCTATATCAATGAACATTTATAACCAGATAAGTGTTTTATTTGTGACAAGAAAAATGTGTTATACTAGCAGATAAAATGATTTTTTTTGTTGTTTAACCTGAGCTTTTTTCAGAGTATCATCTTTGTATTGTGAACAAGCATATCACCTATTGATCACTCAGCTTGAGAAAGGACATTCAGAGATAAGACTGTCAGCTTTCCAAATGATAGAGGAATTATTTAACAGATCCCACTGCTTCAGAGAACTACTCATTTCTAACTTTCAGCATTTCTTAGAACTTACAGTTGGTGAGTACTAATACTGTCTCCCATGTCAACTTTACTTCCATCACTTCAGAAAACTTTCTTACTTTCAGCAAAAAGAAATAACTTTCTGACGAGGCATGTTGGTATTTTGTGCTGTTAAGTTGCTATCTACTTGACATACACCCCACACTTCATTTAATCACATGCCAGAACTGACCACTTATATTTGGGAAAATTAAACACAGTGATAGATATTACTGATAAAGCTGTGTACAACTTAAAAAGATGTCTCACATCTTTAAAAGGAGGGGTCAGTTGGCTGTCTGATTGACTTGACATAAAAGTGAAAAATGTACTTTGTTGTGTTGAACAAAATGGAACATTCAGCATTACAGTTTCAGCTGAAATTTGGATTATTTAAATTTTACTTGGCTTACAACTACACTATTTTTTGATGTTTTTTGCAATATTCAGTCATTTTAATTGTATTATTATATTTGATGAGTTTTTTATGACATTACAGAAACAGATTATGATAATCCTTTACCTCCACCAAAAGCAGCCAGTGATTTACTTAAGTCTAGTGCTTACTCAGCCATTCAGAAGTGGTATGATAAGTTTGGGGAAGAATACAAAAGGCTCACTCTTGGATTCAATTTCCTGAAAACTTGCAAGAAGGTTGGATTATGTTCTGAAAAGCATTATTATTTGGATAGAAAGAAACTAAATGACAGAATTTTCAAATAAAATATGAGAAGATAGCTCTTATAGAATGCTTTGAATTATTAGAATATATTTAAATCTTGCTGTAATACAAAAAAGAAAAATTTATTGTACATTCCTTTATAAAATTAAATTATGTGAGTACATTGTATCTCCTCTTATAAGAATAGATTTAAAGAATATCGAATCAATTAAAAAGAATTGTGAATTTGTGAGAACTGTCGTAATAATATGATAAAATCACATTATTTTCTTCATTTAAATGAAAAGTCTTACAATGAATTACTGTCCTACTTTTTTTCATTAAAAATCTAGCCCAATTGTTTTCTGCTATTTTATAATACAAAATGGTGGAGGATCTCCTCCCGCTTACTACCTTAAGTATTATAGAGGTATAAGTAAATGATCATCGGTGTCATAGTAGGAACTTTTCTGAAAGTGCTAGAAACACGGAACCATAAAGAGGTGTATAAAAAATATCATTGTAAAAAATACAATCTAGAACCGTTGATTGTTTCATTAGAAATTTATACTTTTAATCAATCTTATATAAATTATTTTTGAGTAAATTGATTATCTGCGTTTAAAATGATGCATGTAAGCAGCATATGATTCATATCAAATGACTATATCCTAGTGTATTTAAATAAGTATACTTACTGGAATAATGAAAAGGTTTTTATGATTAAATGGATGTTTATTGTAAACAACTTTTATGATGGTAAATTAAAGTTAATAGGTTTAATTTATACAAGTATTTTATAAAATGTTACCATATAATCAAATTGTTTTAGGTTGATTTTAATGGCATTAGATCAAGAACTGAACTACAGCAAAGACAAGAAAAGGAAAAAGAGGAGAAACTGAAGAAAATTGCCAAAGAAAGAATGGAGAAGACATTACAACAAATGAATGGTTAGTAAATAGAAATTTTTATTTCATTTGATTGATTTTATCTAGTTATGGTTTAGAAATTGCATCCTCTTTGATTATGAACTAATTTTAGAATTGCTTGAGTTTTTATCTCTTGAATAAAATTGTGAATGGAAATGGGGAATATGTCAAAGAGACAACAACCCGACCAAAGAGCAGACAACAGCCGAAGGCCACCAATGGGTCTTCAACGCAGCGAGAAAATCCTGCACCCGGAGGTGGTCCTCAGCTGGCCCCTAAATAAAATTGTGTATTAGTTCAGTGAAAATGGACGTCACACTAAACTCCAAAACATATAAATGAACTAAAATTAAAAACATACAAGACTAACAAAGGCCAGAGGCTCCTGACTTGGGACAGGCGCAAAAATGTGGCGGGGTTAAACATGTTTTGTGAGATCTCAACCCTCCCCCTATACCTCTAGCCAATGTAGAATAAAGAAACACATAGCAATACACACAGTAAAACTCAGTTCAAAAGAAGTCCGAGTCCGATGTCAGAACAGGTAACAAAAGAAACTAAGCAAAATGACAATGATACATAAATGAAAAAAGGACTACTAGCAGTTACTGACATGCCAGCTCCAGACCTCAATTAACCTGATTGAAAGATTATGTCTTCATCATATGAAAATCAAGTACAATCCCTCCCGTTAGAGGTTTAGTATCATACCATCATAAAATATATGAGAAGAATATAACCAGTATCATGCCAATAACTGGTTTTAGAATAAATGTGTTTATTTCCGATGCAAAGACCCTATGAGTGAATCAATATTAATACCAAAATATGCAATCCTTAATGACTTGACAACAGTATCGTAACTATATCCTTTCCAAATAAGTCTGTTTAAAGGTTTGGTTAGCTTTTGAGGTGAATGCCGACATTTTTGTACTTTGTAAAGAATATTACCATAAAATATTGGATGTGAAATACCCGAATGTATAAGATGTCTGCATGCTGATATATATTTACCCATTTATCTATGCATTATACATATTTGCTTTATAGAGGGGCATGCCCCCTTTTAAATCTATCACTGTGTAGAATAAAATCCAAAATTTATAGAATACTATTGTACCCAGTATTGGACAGAGAACATTCATGCTTTTAAATAACAATATTATCTTTAAGAATGCACCTTGTATAATATTATATTTCACTCTCAAACTTCTACACACTTCACTCTTTATTTTCACCATTACTTTTACAATAACCCTTTATTATATCATCTTACAGAAATGCTAGAAGACATCAAGAATACTATAACAGAAGCAAAAACCGGTTTCCAGTTGATATTACCTAGTCCTGATGATTTTTTCATCGAGACTGAAGAGAATGACACAAGTTCAATAAAAAAATCATGTGTTGAGAATAGTAGAACTGAAACCTGTTCAGTGACAGATGGTGAATCATCAACATGTTTAGTTGTTGATAAAGTGACTACAACAACCAACAATGACCTGACGTCTTGTTCGAACAGTAATCAACCAGAATGTGAGATGAAAGATTCATCAGACTTAGTAATTAATAATATATCTACATGTAAAAATGACAATGATAATATCAGTGGTACATTAACTAGTAAAATTGAAAGTGAAAATTGTTGTGATGATTTAGCTACGGGTGATAAAACAAACAGTTCTTCCAACAAGGGAAGTAATTCTGTCAACAATGAATCTGAAAGTGATGAAAATTGTTCTGGGAATGAAGTGGACGATGATTGTGAAAGTGATGAGGAAGAGAACGTCCTACAGGAACATGGGCTACACAGTTTTAAATACAATCTGTCTATAGATATGACACCAGGTGTTGTGTCACTGCAGGAAACAGATGATAACAAAGACCTTCTACAGACTCTAAAAGATCATTATAGACTGATTGTTACTAAATATAAACCAACTGTCAACAAATGGATACAGGTAAAGTTAATATCAAGAGACAGGTATACATGTAGCTTATATCAAGAGACAGGTAATACCGTATAGCTTATATCATAATACAGGTATAGCTACTAGACATGTATATATAATGATACAGGTATAGGTACTATAATATTGTCGAGCCTGCGACTTTTGTCGCAGAAAGCTCGACATAGGGATAGTGATCCGGCGGCGGCAGCGTTAGCTAACTTCTTAAAAGCTTTATATTTTAGAAGGTGGAATGTCTGGATGCTCCATACTTTGTATATGGATGCCTCATGTTACGAAGTTTCTGTCAGTCACATGTCCAATGTCCTTGACCTCATTTTCATGGTTCAGTGACTACTTGAAAAAAAAGTTAAGATTTTTTGTAATGTTAAATTCTCTCTTATTATAAGTAATAGGATAACTATATTTGGTATGTGCGTACCTTGCAAGGTCCTCATGCCCGTCAGACAGTCTGACCTTGACCTCGACCTCATTTCATGGATCAGTGAACAAGGTTAAGTCCATATCTCAGATACTATAAGCAATAGGTCTAGTATATTTGGTGTATGGAAGGACTGTAAGGTGTACATGTCCAACTGGCAGGTGTCATCTGACCTTGACCTCATTTTCATGGTTCAGTGGTTATAGTTAAGTTTTTGTGTTTTGGTCTGTTTTTCTTATACTGTATGCAATAGGTCTACTATATTTGGTGTATGGAATGATTGTAAGGTGTACATGTCTAGCGGGCAGGTGTCATCTGACCTTGACCTCATTTTCATGGTTTAGTGGGCAAAGTTAAGTTTTTTAGTTTTGGTCTTTTTTTCTAATACTATATGCAATAGTTCAACTATATTTGGTGTATGGAAATATTTTATGATCTATTTGTCAGTCACGCAGGTTTTATTTGACCTTGACCTCATTTTCAAGGTTCATTGCTCAGTGTTTAGTTTTTGTGTTTTGGTCTGTTTTTCTTAAACTATAAGCAATAGGTCAACTATATTTGTTGTATGGAAGAATTGTTAGCTGTACATGCCTGCCTAGCATGGTTCATCTGACCTTGACCTCATTTTCATGGTTCATTTGTCAATGTTTAAGTTTACTTGGTTAATGTTAAGTTTATGTGACAGTTGTAATAAAGCTTTATATTTAGGACTATCAACATAATATCAATGATTAGTAAAGAAGGCGAGACATTTCAGCGTGTGCACTCTTGTTATTCTCAGCTATGGATAAAGGTAAAGCTAATACCATCAGATAGTATTATTTGTATCAGTTGTGATAATGGTACTGGTACTCAGGTAGTATTATTTGTATCAGTTGTGATAATGGTACTGGTACTCAGGTAGTATTATTTGTATCTGTTGTTATAATGGTACTGGTACTCAGATAGTATTATTTGTATCAGTTGTGATAATGGTACTGGTACTCAGATAGTATTATTTGTATCAGTTGTGATAATGGTACTGGTACTCAGGTAGTATTATTTGTATCAGTTGTGATAATGGTACTGGTACTCAGATAGTATTATTTGTATCAGTTGTGATAATGGTACTGGTACTCAGGTAGTATTTAATGTATTAATAGAAATAGCAATACGGCTAAGTTTGTGTTTACGATAGGGGTTGTGTTTCAACTATAATTAATTCACCAATGGGAATTATGGTAAAGTTAGAATATTAAGTATCATTAGTGTTACCATAACACCTCATACAACCAAGGTTGGGCGGTATTTACCACCCTCGGTATTTACCAGTGGTATTTACCGGTATTTACCGCCCTGGACAATACTCCCCAAGTGGTCAATACTGGCAAATACTGGTCAATTGAAATTTTCATGCTTCATTTGACTGACTTATCTATCAATTCTAGTAAAAAATGGTTGATGAGGGAAAACTTTATTCCTTTGGCATGATTCAGTTTATAAAAATGAATGATATTAGTATGTTATTATCTATAAAAACATTAAAAATGATTAATTTAGTTCTTAGGGGTAATGATATTGCATACTTTTGGTATACATATAAAATTGAGCAGCTATACCAGTTATTTTAACATGTATAAATCAAGATATTTTTTTCTTGAAAAGGTTTGAATTTTACAGGTAAATAGAATTACAAGTGACTACCAATATAGATTATCTGAGCATTACCTATTATATGACTAACAGGTGTCAAAAGTATAATTACTATAACAACTGTCCCCTAAAAAATGTTTACATAACAGGAAAAAAGTCATAAAAGTGATTTCTAAAGATTGTTTTAAACAATTAATTAATTTCTGACTATTCAACAGCATGATAAAAATGTTCTAAATGCAGGAAATGTTTTTTTTTAATAAATATATAACATATTTATATATAAAACAATTTTTAAAAATTTTTTAATTGCATTTTTCAAAATAACTGTTACATGATTAAGAAAACTAGATGTTAGATAGTCTATCTTAAATGACTGACTTCATGGTGTTAATGACTATATCTGTTGTATGATGAAATTAATATTTGATAAATATTCATTAAACCATGTTCATGAACTAATTAATTGTGACTTTTTGTCCTATTACAATGTAGTAAATAAGTGACTTTCTGCCTTGTGACTATATCTATCCATTTACCAAGTAATTGACCTGAGGTAGGGACTAGTTTTATAGTAAAGTCCTATCAAAATTTCAATTGACCAGTATTTGCCAGTATTTCCCGGTATTTACCGGTATTTACCGCCGGCATGGTCAATACTAGTATTGACCGCTTTTTTGCCAACCTTGCATACAACATAAATATTGAGAATGATATACATGTATATTATAAAGTGTAACTAAAGAAACGATAGTATGTAATCATAGTTCTATAGTATAGAACTAATTGTTAACTGTGATCTGATGTTGCTTAATCACAATTTTAAATATATCCATGAATGAATGCACCATACATGTATCTGTTCTTATTGCATTTCAGTAATTGTTAAAAAATATTTATAATTCATGATTTTTTATTGTACAGAATTTGACAAAGTATGGAGATAAAGAAGATCTTACAAAGAGCGTGATAGATGTTAAAACAGACCTGGATAGTTTATTGTCTAAGTATAACGAGATGAATATTATACCTGATGATAAACCAGAAGAGATGGGAGGTAATCAAAGCTGTGTTTGTTTTATGATTCATTGATTAATTACATGTACCAGTATTGATAACATCTTCACTGAAAGACTTCCTTTACACATACAAGAAATAAATATAGATGTGAATTTGTTCATCCAGTATCAAGTTACAGTTCTTGGTTTAGGTAGTTTACCATAAATATGTGGTCACCATAACTTGATTGATTGATTGGTTATTAATTGCTTTATGACCAGGGGGAAATGCATGTTCACAACAAGAACAAATTAAGATGATTGTAACAGGCCACCTACCAACCCTTTAAAGAGTTGTTGCAAGGCTTCTTTAATGAACAGAGAGCATGTCACTGTCTCAACTCTAGGCATCAGATTTAGCATCCCTATACTGACCAGACATGGCTGCACATTTATACATCCAGCATATCCAAATGTACAGTACTTTTGCAAGGGTTTTACTGCCAGTAAATAGAAGACTAAGGGATGACCATATTTCTATAACCCACTCAACCCTTAGAGGATTCATCAACTAAAAAGTTAGAACCAAGGGTCCAGAATTTTTATATTTCTTAATAAATTTTAGAATTTATTATTTTATCCCTGTCTGAAATCCCAAAATGCAGTATAGTTATAGGCCTTTAAGAATTGGTCATCTAGTGACAAATTGAAGTCACACCCACTCCGACTACATCATTCTTGACCAATGACAGCAATTGTACTATCTCTAGTTTTGAGGAGTAAAAATTGCTGTGTCCAATGTTTACAAATTTCCTGAAGCAGAAACCTATATATATATATATACGTTGTCATTACAACATTTGCACAATGAACATACACAAGAACTTCAATAAGTTGATTAAGAACTTTAAAAGTGCAACTAAATATCTTTCTATGTTTTAGGAGTATAGAATTGTGGCATTTGTTTATTTACATTTTCTACATTTACACGTAATAATCTTAAAGTTGCTTTTTATACGACCAGCAAAAAAATTTTGTGGTCGTATATTGGTATGACGTTGGCTTCGTCGTCGTCCGAAGACACATTGGTTTTCTCACTCTAACTTTAGTTTAAGTGAATGGATCTCTATGAAATTTTACCATAAGGTTCAATACCACAAAAGGAAGGTTGGGATTGATTTTGGGGGTTATGGTACCAACAGTTAAGGAATTAGGGGCCAAAAAGGGGCCATAAATAAGCATTTTTGTAACTTCCAGACATAACTTGTGTGTAAGTGTACCACAAGGTTCCATATCTCAAAGGGAATGCTGGGATTGATTTTGGTGGTAATTGCCTCAAAATTTTAGGAATTAGGGGCCAAAAAGGGGCAAAAAACAAGCATTTTTCTAGTTTCATGACAATAACTTGTGTGTAAGTGTATGGATCTTTCTGAAATTGTACTACAAGGTTCCATATCACAAAGGGAAAGTTGAAATTGAGTTTGGGGGAAATTGCCCAAAACTTTAAGGAATAAGGGGCCAAAAATAAGCATTTTTCTAGTTTCCAGACAATAACTTGTTTTCAAATGTATGGATCTCTCTGAAATTGTACTGCAAGGTACCATACCACAAAGGGAAGGCTGGGATTGATTTTGGGGGTAATTGCCTCAAAATTTTAGGAATTAGGGGCCAAAAAGTTGCAAAAAACAAGCATTTTTCTAGTTTCAGGACAATAAATTGTGTGTAAGTGTATGGATCTTTATGAAATTGTACTACAAGGTTCAATATCAGAAAGGGAAAGCTGGGTTTGAGTTTGGGGGTAATTGCCCTAAATGTTTAGGAATATGGGGCCAAAAAGGGGCCTTAAAACAAGCATTTTTCTAGTTTCCAGACAATATCTTGTGTTCAAGTGTATGGATCTCTCTGAAATTGTACTGCAAGGTACCATACCATAAAGGGAAGGCTGGGATTGGGATGGGGGTGATGAATCATAAGGGGGTTCAAAAAATTTGGGGGAGGGATTTTTTTATCCTTTTTTTCCTTTTTTTTTCTTTCAAATTTTCCATTTTAAATTGGTTATTTCTGATTTATATATAAATGCAAATAATAATGATATGGTTTGAATAGGTAAATTAAAATTTTTTTAAAAAGTTCTTAGACCACATTCATTTTGTGTCAGAAACCTATGCTGTGTCAAATATTTAATCACAATCCAAATTCAGTGCTGTATCAAGCTTGAATGTTGTGTCCATACTTGCCCCAACTGTTCAGGGTTCGACCTCTGCGGTTGTATCAAGGTGCGCCCAGCGGAGCATTTTATTGATTGCATGCAGCAAGTTACAACTGCAATCATTGGAAATTATATCTTGTGGATCCAAAATTCTAACTTAATCTACCAAGGGTAAAGGGAAGGGGACTGGATCATAACCCTTGGCTAGCGAAGATGGGAACAGAGGTGCAATATCTCATTTATGACAAACTTAAATTTACATTAGTTAAGTAAATAGAAATTTATTGACAGTTATCTAAAACAACAATAATTAACCTTAAGGAAAAACAGTTTGTTTTGTCAACATATAATGGAAAGGTTGGCTTTTCCTTCGATAATACATGTATCTAATAACTGCCATTAATAAATATTTTGTTTTATAGAAGATGATAGTGATGATGACTTTGAAGATGTTCCTGAGAAAGAAGGATATGAACCAATAATACCTCCACACAAAAGAGCTGAATATGGTATTTAAGGAAATGATATGGCCTAATTTCTCATTGATTTTTTTATCTTAAAAGTAGGTTAATGTAATTTACGTTAACAAATTACTAAACACATAAACCAGTACCTTGGCAGTTTGACATCACAGTTAAATTGCTGAATGGAACAAAAATAATTTTTTAACATTTAACTTCTATTCAATAAACTGTTTTTTATTATAAATGAGAATATGTCCAGTACTCTTCATTATATAACTTATAAATAGATTCCCCCTTACTTTTTAGGATTAGAACCATTGCCAACAAGATCTGAGACTGTTACACAACATCCAAAAGCTAGTACAAGCAGGAATACCTCTGGTTTCTGGAGTCTGTCTAAAACAATAGAACAGAAACCTGAAAATGATCCAACCACAATGAAAGCTAACTTTGTTCGTTTATTACAACAATCTTCTGGGTATGATAGTATGGCCAGCTTGAAATAAATTTAATGATATGTTCACATACAGCTGAAACTTTGTTAGATAGAGTAGATTTATTTTTTTTAAACTTTTCTTTCTATCCAAACAATAGTTATTGAGTTATTATCCATAAATTATTACTATTTACATGGTCTGTTTTGTTAGATTAAACCAGTAATTATATCTTCTTTCCTGCAGTTTCCATCGAACATTCCAGTATTACATTTAATGGCATATTGATAATCTTTTGTTTTATATATATTTGTTCAAACCAATGGTTTTCTGAATATTTTAAGGGCAAAAGAATTTATAATAACTAAAAATAGTGAACTTTACTTCTGTACATTAAGTAACAATTGATATTTTTGTAATTGTAGTACACCAGCAACAGCAACATGTACCCAGCCTAACCCTAAAGTACCGTTAACAATCACTGGAGACTCACAAAAAGACAAACTATTGGAGAAGGCCCCAATAGTACCTTATGGTGTAGACTTAGAACACTGGGAAAACCCAGACAAAATGGAAGCTCCTTTAGTTGTTAAGTAGGTTGTTATACTGACAAACACATGGAAAGCCCAGACAAAATGGAGGCTCCTTTAGTTGTTAAGTAGGTTGTTAAACTGACAAACACATGGAAAACCCAGACAAAATGGAGGCTCCTTTAGTTGTTAAGTAGGTTGTTATACTGACAAACACATGGAAAACCCAGACAAAATGGAGGCTCCTTTAGTTGTTAAGTAGGTTGTTATACTGACAAACACATGGAAAACCCAGACAAAATGGAGGCTCTTTTAGTTGTTAAGTAGTTTGTTCTACAAACAAACACAGAGAAACCCCAGACAAAATGGAGGCTCCTTTAGTTGTTAAGTAGGTTGCTATATTGACAAACACAGGGAAAACCCAGACAAAATGGAGGCTCCTTTAGTTGTTAAGTAGTTTGTTCTACAAACAAACACAGAGAAACCCCAGACAAAATGGAGGCTCCTTTAGTTGTTAAGTAGGTTGCTATACTGACAAACACAGGGAAAACCCAGACAAAATGGAGGCTCTTTTAGTTGTTAAGTAGGTTGTTATACTGACAAACACAGAGAAACCCCAGACAAAATGGAAGCATCTCACATTTGTGAATTAATATTTTGTTTGGTCACTACTTGAGTATTTTTTTAAACTGTTAATTCTGAAATTAATTCATTCAATTATTATTGCGAATCCTTGACCACTGGCAAAAATTTGTAATCTTATTTCTGTAAATTCAGAAATTATTGCGAAGTTTTTATAAATGCGACAAGGTGAGTATCGCAATAATAAGAACTCGCATTCTGATATTTTATACATATATCTGTAAGCACATTTTCCTGAAATCTCAATAATTGATCTTGTTGATTTGTCCATTCTTCAAATATCGCAATAGCAAATGCAGGCAATAATTTCTGAATTTACAGTAATGTAATTGCTAAAATTTTATGAATGATAATCAATTCTTAAATTATGAATGCAAGTTTTTATTATTGCAAACATGGTACTGTCTCATTTTTCGCATAAATAATAACATCGCAATAATTTCTGAATTTTTACAGTATTTGAATTCTTTGACTAGTAATATTCTATAAATATATTGAAATATATTCATACAGGCAGTAATAGTTTTTGAAGTCACCTGCCAAATAAAATGACTTTCCTTCAAATTTCAGGATAAAAAGATGGTAGGATATCATTATTTTAGATATTAAGTATTTGTATCAGTGTCTAACATAAAATTTAGTTTTTTAGCAGCTTATGATATTGAGGATTTAGCATAATCTAAATTCACTGATGGTATGTTACTGCCAATAGCCTATATGCAACAGCACTGAAGTTTGTGTTTTTATTAAAAATAACTTGAATTTGATCAGGGATGTTTCAGTTTTGCTATTTTAGTTATTGGTTTCCAAAAGTTGAAGCAGTTGATTAACCTGAGAATGATACCCTTATAACATTGACTGATGAAATAGGGTTAAATCTTCCATAAACAATAAGGAATTCTGGTTATAGCTCTCCAAGTTAGAATTTTACAGATTATTGTACATTTACAGATATGATTCATTACACAAGTTTTGGGCTCCAAGTGACTTTGAAGAATTACAAACAGATAAGGTAGGCAAGCAGACGTTTTATCACTTGTTTTTTTTTATTTACAGATATGATTGGCTAAATACAGTGTGGGCATATACTGAACGTGATAACGGGGAATCAAAAGCTGACCAAGTATGTACAGGTCATAATGTAGGGATAAAAGTGATACAGTGCTGTTACTTAAGAATATTAATTAAACACAATAGTGGAAATTTTGTGATGTTATATGGTTATTGGGCAAGCCCCTTTATTTATAAACCAGCAATTCCTTTTGAGTTTCCAAAATACCATGTGAAATTTTCTCATCACTAGACGTCAATCGTATTTCTGGTATTTATTACAAAACCTTCTATAAAACTACAAGGCCAATTTGAACAACATTAAACCACAATTATCCTTGGGATATCTATTTTAAAAATGTGTCTGATAATCCTATGGTAGATAGAGAGAAACTGTAAATAGCAAAAATTGTCAGCAGGACAAGATCTACAACCATTAGACAACATGACGAAACTGTCAGTAGACTCCTTTTAGAAGTTACTGCCCATGAAAGGCCATCTAATATTTTTAAATCACTCTTTTCTCAAAAATTACTACCAGGTTAATAGAATAACTTCATATTTTGCCAGCGGCTCAACAATTTTTTTATCTGTCAGATGCATACTTCCTGTTTGCAGATATTTTGAATTTTTCGAATGAAATTAAAATTGTTCATCACAACATTCTCAAAAAACTACTTGACAGAATGACTTTACATCTGCTCAGCAACTCAATTAGGATGAATTGTAAAGTGTGTGAACCTTTTAAATCTGTCAGACACCTACTTCCTTTTTACTGTTACTTTGAGTGGTGTTTGCTGAACATACATGAAGTTATATTACCAATTGTAGACTAGCTCAGCTCAATATAATTTGCTAACACTTAAAGTGTTAAAATGTTTTGAACAGGATGGTTTGGCAGCACTTAAGAATAGAAGCATAAGTTTTGTAGGAAAATTTGAACCTGTGAAGTGGAAATGTAGAGCTCCTTTGCCTAATGGAAAGTTTTGTGAAAGAATGGACAGATTTAAGGTTAGTGTTATCCCATGATTTACTAGATTTAAAGTATCATAGAAGGCATGTGGAAAGCACCGCAAGCACATAAAATATTGTATAGTACATTTGGTAATTTTCACGTTGGGTTTGTTCCAAATATAGGCTTTAGAAGGAGTAGTTAAATCTTTGCTGTGTTCATATTTGCTATAATGCATTTAAATGGACTGTGATCATTTTATGTAGGTAAACTTTTCAGAAAAATGTCTACTGCAAACAAAGCTCAAATTTCTATGGAAACATAGCTCACTTTTTGTAAGCTTGCATTGAATGGTTAATTCATAGTACTAGTCAGGGGTCTGGAAAATGCCAGTAATAACCAAATTTAAGATAAAAATGACTAACATAAATATTCAAATCAGACATTCAAAATTATGAAAATCAGTCAATTTTTAAGCTCACCTGGCCCGAAGGTCCATCGTCGTCCGTCGTCGTTGTTAACTTTTTACATTTTGAACTTCTTCTAGAGAACCACTGAATGGAATGAAACCAAACATGGCATGAATGTTCCTTATGAGGTGCTGACCAAGTGTTGTTACTTTGTAACCGATCCATCATCCAAGATGGCCGCAAGCAGGGGACTTAGTTTAACATAGGACCCTATGGGAAATACATACAAATGTCTTCTTTTAGAGATCCACTGAATGGAATGAAACCAAACATGGCATGAATGTTCTTTATGAGGTGCTGACCAAGTGTTGTTACTTTGAAGCCGATCCATCATCCAAGATGGCCGCCAGCGGGGGACTTAGTTTAACATAGGACCCTATGGGAAATACATACAAATGTCTTCTTATAGGTTGCAATTCTGTAAATACAGACAATGCAATTTCCCATAGGAACTCCCTTTGCGGCTAAAACTGTGACACTTTTACTATGAAGTTTCGTGAAAAATAATATCCCAGAACGGAAAGTTTATATGCACTACTATTTTATTCAAAGGTCAAAATATAGGGCTGTGCGGCATATTTTCAACATTTATATGCCCTGAACTTCTAAGAGTTTAAACTTATACTAAAATTCTATACTACCCTTACCTCCATTTTTGGACCTCCTAAGAATTAAAATTTAGCCGCTACCATGTTTATCTATACTGGTTACATTCCCAAGTGATGTCTCTATGAGATGAAACACAGAGATCATCAATGGGAACCAGTACGTTAACAAATTAACATACCTATGAATATTAAATATCTCCCCAAAAGAGGCGTGGTTTGAGAAACAGCTGTATTTACAAAGTGCAACCTATACAAACATTTATTCAAATAGAAAACTCTCTAAAAACACTTTTTCTCACAACAATACTTATTTATCAGAATTATAGCCTTAAAGAAATCACTGCATATATTCTAAGTCTCCTTTTACAGTACATTTTATACCCCTACCCCTGTTTCAATTTTTTAAAGATTTTGAAAACAAGACTCTAATTATTGCCAGCTTACCCTATGTGCATGTTTTCTGACATGAACTGTCTAAAACCTGTTTGAAACTATTCTGATAACAAATTGAAAGCATTTTAGAATACTATAAATGTTTTGTTTAGTAGTTAAGCATTCCAACATTCAAGATTATACAAAGTATCTAATCCTGCCTGTGTCTCCAGTCCACATCTTACTGTATGCCTATTTGTCAATGAAAGTTCACAATTTCTGCCTCAAATGGTCAGTTTAGAATTCTTGTCACAACAGTATCATCCCTAACCATATATCTAACATAAGTTAGTTAATATATGTCCTAGAAGTGTTTAAACAAAGGCATATTTGCAAAAGTTGTATTTATGAAGATATCAGTCTGGTGCATAAATTCACTAAAAGTTTGATTGAAATGACTGCTTACATCTGATTTTTGCATAACTTCCTAGCACAGTTATTGTTTACTTTATAAAAGACCTTTAAAATAAAAAAATCATAGCATTTACAAGTTAAATTATCTGCTTTATGACTCAGGGGTAGGCATTTTCCTCTGTTTTTTGCCCCTGGGGCCTCACATTTCCTAATTTTTTTTCCCTGTTTCTAGCAATGTGAAATATTTACTACATATTTAGGATAGAACACACTATTGTAAGTTTTACTGAGGTCTTTTTGTAATTCTAGCTTGTACTTTTTTATGCCGCAGTCACAAACAAGCACATTTAGGCGTTACGGCTTACTTTTGGGTTATCGACAGGACAAAAACACCCCACCAGAAATATTTAGGAAGGATCAATGAGTTGCAATTACTGCGAAGAGTAAATATAAGCACTTCTAAACAATTTAAATTACAAATAGGCATATATTATGAATTTATTTTGAATTCAGGGCTTTAAGTAAACCATGCATACTTTAAACTGTGAATTTATGCTGAGTCATCATAGTTAAGGCCCAGGATTTTCTCAATCTTCATGAAATATTTATAAAACTTCATATTTGAGTTAAATTCTTTAAAATCTCTGAGATAAACCAGATTTTGTGAAATTCTGTATGTTCTATTTTTTAACCCTATATAGGTTGCAATTCTGTAAATACAGACAATGCAATTTCCCATAGGTACTCCCTTTGCGGCTAAAACTGTGACACTTTTACTATGAAGTTTCGTGAAAAATAATATCCCAGAACGGAAAGTTTATATGCACTACTATTTTATTCAAAGGTCAAAATATAGGGCTGTGCGGCATATTTTCAACATTTATATGCCCTGAACTTCTAAGAGTTTAAACTTATACTAAAATTCTATACTACCCTTACCTCCATTTTTGGACCTCCTAAGAATTAAAATTTAGCCGCTACCATGTTTATCTATACTGGTTACATTCCCAAGTGATGTCTCTATGAGATGAAACACAGAGATCATCAATGGGAACCAGTACGTTAACAAATTAACATACCTATGAATATTAAATATCTCCCCAAAAGAGGCGTGGTTTGAGAAACAGCTGTATTTACAAAGTGCAACCTTTAGAGAACCACTGAATGGAATGAAACCAAACATGGCATGAATGTTCCTTATGAGGTGCTGACCAAGTGTTGTTACTTTGTCGCCGATCCATCATCCAAGATGGCCGCCAGCGGGGGACTTAGTTTAACATAGGACCCTATGGGAAATACATACAAATGTCTTCTTTTAGAGAACCACTGAATGGAATGAAACCAAACATAACATGAATGTTCCTTATGAGGTGCTGACCAAGTGTTGTTAAATCAAAGCCGATCTATCATCCAAGATGGCCGCCAGCAGGGGACTTAGTTTAACATAGGACCCTATGGGAAATACATACAAATGTCTTCTTTTAGAGAACCACTGAATGGAATGAAACCAAATATGGCATGAATGTTCCGTATGAGGTGCTGACCAAGTGTTATTACTTTGTAGCCGATCCATCATCCAAGATTGCCGCCAGCGGGGGACTTAGTTTAACAGGACCCTATGGGAAATACATACAAATGTCTTCTTTTAGAGAACCACTGAATGGAATGAAACCAAACATGGCATGAATGTTCCTTATGAGGTGCTGACTAAGTGTTGTTACTTTGAAGGCGATCAATAATCCAAGCTGGCAGCCAGTGGAGGACTTAGTTTAACATAGGACCCTATGGGAAATATTTACAAATGTCTTCTTTTAGAGAACCACTGAATGGAATGAAACCAAACATGGCATGAATGTTCCTTATGAGGTGCTGACCAAGTGTTGTTACTTTGAAGCCGATCCATCATCCAAGATGGCCGCCAGCGGGGGACTTAGTTTAACAGGACCCTATGGGAAATACATACAAATGTCTTCTTTTAGAGAACCACTGAATGGAATGAAACCAAACATGGCATGAATGTTCCTTATGAGGTGCTGACTAAGTGTTGTTACTTTGAAGGCGATCAATAATCCAAGCTGGCAGCCAGTGGAGGACTTAGTTTAACATAGGACCCTATGGGAAATATTTACAAATGTCTTCTTTTAGAGAACCACTGAATGGAATGAAACCAAACATGGCATGAATGTTCCTTATGAGGTGCTGACCAAGTGTTGTTACTTTGAAGCCGATCCATCATCCAAGATTGCCGCCAGCGGGGGACTTAGTTTAACAGGATCCTATGGGAAATACATACAAATGTCTTCTTTTAGAGAACCACTGAATGGAATGAAACCAAACATGGCATGAATGTTCCTTATGAGGTGCTGACCAAGTGTTATTACTTTGTAGCTGATCCATCATCCAAGATGGCCGCCAGCGGGGGACTTAGTTTAACATAGGACCTTATGGGAAATACATACAAATGTCTTCTTATAGAGAACCACTGAATGGAATGAAACCAAACATGGCATGAATGTTCCTTATGAGGTGCTGACCAAGTGTTGTTACTTTGAAGGCGATCCATTATCCAAGATGGCCGCCAGCTGGGGACTTAGTTTAACATAGGACCCTATGGGAAATACATACAAATGTCTTCTTTTAGAGAACCCCAGAATGGAATGAAACCAAACATGGCAAGAATGTTCCTTATGAGGTGCTGACCAAGTGTTGTTACTTTGAAGCAGATCCATCATCCAAGATGGCCGCCAGCGGGGGACTTAGTTTAACATAGGACCCTATGGGAAATACATACAAATGTCTTCTTTTAGAGAACCACTGAATGGAATGAAACCAAACATGGCATGAATGTTCATAATGAGGTGCTGACTAAGTGTTGTTACTTTGAAGGCGATCACTCATTATTAGGGTATCTGTTATGATTTTAATCTATTTTTACATGATTTCCAAAAGCAAAGTAGAATCAGGTGAGCGACACAGGCTCTTGAGAGCCTCTAGTTATTTAATCCTGTTTTGACTACCGGTCATGTAATAAAATGGACCATTTGCAAGTAAACTGCAATACATAGCATCCCACTTAACTGTGTTTACCCAAAGTTTGCATCAGTCTGTCACTTTTTCCAGGTGGTTTAGCTGCTTGGTGTTTGCAATTTCATTAAAGTTTGTGATTAGTTTAGTTTAAGGTTAAGGTACATGTACAGTAAATGGGCTATGTCACAAATTTTGGTAAACTTTTACTTTCAAATTTGGCAGTTGAACTATAACTGATTCATAACTGAAAAATAAAATAATAGTGCATTTATCTCTTTTATTTTCTGAAAGATAACTAAATGAATTCTTTTAAAATATGTGAACATTTGATACATACTAAAGTTTTATACATTAGTTGAAATATATACAGATGCTTTAAAAACTGGTCAATAGATGTCTTTATTAGGCCAATACAATTTGGTATGTTTGTATATTTGTAGTGTCCATTTCATGGAAAGATAATAGCCAGAAACGACTCGGGACAGCCAACTGACCCAAAAGATATAGCCTCTCTGTCTAGTCAACATGATGATATTGATAGTAAGATCAGTTTATTAAACAATAACAGTGACTATTTTCAGTCAATTGAATCACTGTATAATGTATAGTTGATTGCTATGATTTTCCCTCACTTTATCACCAACACTGCACATTTATCAATAATTTTACCTGTTCCAATTTCCAGTCATTATTTTTTTTATGTCATTGCCATTTCTTGCTACCAGTAACTTTAATGTATCATTAAAGACATAGGTCAGGGAAATATTAAAGGGGGAAGGGTTTCAAATTTATCAAAAATATTAATTATTAGCACTGCTTGAAACCTCCTGCATACATGTATGTTGAGCATCAAGTTTTTTTATATTTCATTTATAAAGAACGATTTTTACATCAATAACTACCTACATCAAAATGTTAAAAGTAGTTTGATAGTTTAAAAATAAAATTTGCCAAACTGAAGTTGAAAAATGAGTTGTTACAGATGCATTGTCTTGATCACATTTCTAAGGCCCTGAAAAATTAACAAAGTTCTTAAGACTGTTGATATGTTTATAGTCAAATATAGTGAAAATATTATTGTCAGTTCTGAAGGACAAATTTTAAACAAACATGGATATATGTTTAATTGATTAATTAAATATCATTCATATTTTTCATTGATCTGTTATTATTCAGCAGGCTAAAAAATTATGTCAGTCTTTCAGTAAACAACAAATATTAAATAGTTTAATTTTTATTTCTGGTTTTGGTCATGTGCACTAAACACTTTAATGAATCAAATGCAATGACTTGAAACAAGTTGTGTTTGTCAGCCATTGTAGTATTGTTCCATTTATATTTTCTTTGGTTATAGCTGAAAGTTGCAAATACTCATTCATTGGGAGCTTTAAGTAGATATGAAGATCACATGTTCTATTTTGGGAATTTTAGTAACAAGCAATGACCAGTCCTACTGGAGGGATCCAGAACTTGAAGCCGATATTGAAGCAGCATTAGGGATAGACCTAGGCTCTAGTAAAGGTAAAAAGAAAGGGAAAGGTAAAGGCAAAGGAAAACAGAAAAAATATCCAAACTTAACAGACATTACAGAGGTTAAAAATACGTCAAGGAATAGATTGGAGAAGAAGATATTTAAAAGGTAATATTCATAAAAGGATGTAATAGAATACAAAAAAAGGATATAATATAAAACGTTAAAAGGGTATGATATAATACATTAAAAGGGTATGATATAATACATTAAAAGGATACAAAATAAGAATATAATATAAAACATAAAAGATAACCTGCTGAATTTTTTATTTGCTGTGTTATTTCAATTTCAATATTTTTATGCCCCCGTCATAGCGGTGGGGCATTAAGTTTTACCCTTGTCCGTCGGTACGTACGTACGTACGTACGAACATCCCAAAATTGGTTTCCGTTCTCTAACTTGAGTTTGCCTCAACCAAATGTTATGAAACTTATACACAATGCTTATTACCACAAAACACAGATTAAGTTTGAATTTTGGTGGCATCACTTTAACCGTTCTAGAGTTATGCCCCTTTATAGGTGGAAAAATTGCAAAATTTTTAGTTTCCGTAGTCTAACTTAAGTTTGCCTCAACCAAATGTTATGAAACTTATACACAATGCTTATTACCACAAAACACAGATCAAATTTGAATTTTGGTGGCATCACTTTAATCGTTCTAGAGTTATGCCCCTTTATAAATGGAAAAATTGCAAAATTTTTAGTTTCTGTTCTCTAACTTAAGTTTGCCTCAACCAAATGTTATGAAACTTATACACAATGCTTATTACCACAAAACACAGATCAAGTTTTAGTTTTTGGAGGCATCACTTTAATCGTTCTAGAGTTAAGCCCTTTATAAATGGAAAAATTGCAAAATTTTTATTTTCTTCTAAATATCAAGTAATTTTTATACGACCGCAAAAAAAATTTTGTGGTCGTATATTGGTATGACGTTGGCATCGTCGTCGTCGACGTCGTCCGAAGACACATTGGTTTTCGCACTCTAACTTTAGTTTAAGTGAATGGATCTTTTTGAAATTTGAACATAAGGTTAAATACCACAAAAGGAAGGTTGGGATTGATTTTGGGGGTTATGGTACCAACAGTTAAGGAATTAGGGGCCAAAAAGGGGCCAAAAATAAGCATTTTCTAGTTTCCAGACAATAACTGTGGAACGGTGTATGGATCTCTCTGAAATTATACTACAAGTTTCCATACCACAAAGGGATGGTTAGGATTTGCTTTGGGGGGTTATGGCTCAAACCGTTTAGGAATTAGGGGCAAAAAAGGGGGAAAAACAGGGTTGTCCTGGTTAATGGACAAATACTTTAGTACAAAACATAATTTAAAGCAGTGTAAGGGAGATAAATCAAATACATCATTGAAATTATCTCCCTTACACTGCTTTTAAATTATGTATAAAGTAATGGTTAATGAACAATAAAGATAATTTAAAACAGTGTAGGGGAGGTAATCCAAATACAACGTTTTGGTTACTTCCCTTACACTGCTTTTAAATTATGTTTAAAGAAATGCATATTTATAAAGGAAGACCAGTAAAAATATCTGCAAATGTTGCATCTTTTTTTTTTACAAAAAAATCCATATGAAAGATTTGACACTATATTTTTAATTCTATTATAAAATAGATTAAGTTAGCACTATGGTAAATTTAAATGGGTAATTATGGTTGCCAACTCCATTGGAAATTTGAATTGAGATTATGACCATATCTTGAGGGAAAGAATTTTTTTGGGGAAAAAAGGGGGGGGGGATAAAAAGAAATTGTGGGGGGTCAATTTTTTCTCATTTCAGATTTCAGAAATTAAAAAGAATTATTCTTCAAAAATTATTTTTTTTTCAAATTTCAAATATTGAAAAATTTCAAGAAGTCTTTAATTGCACAGTATGGCGCATTAGATTTGTAAAATCTTTGATCACATTTATTTATTTGTTATGCCGAATCTAACAGTGTATTTAGATTTTTAATTTTGGGTTCAGTTTTCAAATTGGTCTACATTAAGGTCCAAAGGGTCCAAAATTAAACTTTGTTTGATTTTAGCAAAAATTGAATATATGAGGTTCTTTGATATGCTGAATCTAAACATGTATTTAGATTTTTGATTTTTGGCCCAGTTTTCAAGTTGGTCCAAATTGGGGTCCAAAATTAAACTTTGTTTGATTTCAACAAAAATTGAATATATGGGGTTCTTTGATATGCTGAATCTAACCATGTATTTAGATTTTTTATTTGTGGACCCCGTTATCAAATTGGTTCATATTGAGGTCAAAAGGGTCCAAAATTAAACTTTGTTTGATTTCATCAAAAATTGAATTATTGGGGTTCTTTGATATTCCAAATCTAACCGTGTATTTAGATTTTTAATTTTGGGTCCTGTTTTTTAAATTGGTCTACATTAAGGTCCAAAGGGTCCAAAATGAAACTTAGTTTGATTTCAACAAAAATTGAATATATGGGGTTCTTTGAAATGCTGAATCTAAACATGTATTTAGATTTTTGATTATGGGCCAAGTTTTCAAGTTGGTCCAAATTGGGGTCCAAAATTAAACTTTGTTTGATTTCAACAAAAATTGAATATATGAGGTTCTTTGATATGCTGAATCTAACCATGTATTTAGATTTTCTATTTGTAGGCCCCGCTTTCAAATTGGTTCATATTGAGGTCAAAAGGGTCCAAAATTAAACTTTGTTTGATTTCATCAAAAATTGAATTATTGGGGTTCTTTGATATTCCAAATCTAACCGTGTTTTTAGATTTTTAATTTGGGTCCCGTTTTTTAAATTGGTCTTCATTGAGGTCCAAAGGGTCCAAAATTAAACTTAGTTTGATTTTAACAAAAATTGAATTCTTGGGGTTCTTTGATATGCTGAATCTAAACATGTGTTTAGATTTTTTATTATGGGCCCATTTTTCAAGTTGGTCCAAGTTGGGGTCCAAAATTAAACTTTTTTTTATTTCAACAAAAATTGAATATATGGGGTTCTTTGATATGCTGAATCTAACCATGAATTTAGATTTTTTATTTGTGGGCCCCGCTATCAAATTGGTTCATATTGAGGTCAAAAGGGTCCAAAATTAAACTTTGTTTGATTTCATCAAAAATTGAATTATTGGGGTTCTTTGATATTCCAAATCTAACCGTGTATTTAGATTTTTAATTTTAAGTCCCGTTTTTTAAATTGGTCTACATTAAGGTCCAAAGGGTCCAAAATTAAACTTAGTTTGATTTTAGCAAAAATTGAATTCTTGGGGTTCTTTGATATGCTGAATCTAAACATGTGTTTAGATTTTTGATTATGGGCCCAGTTTTCAAGTTTGTTCAAGTTGGGGTCCAAAATTAAACTTTGTTTGATTTTAACAAAAATTGAATATATGGGGTTCTTTGATATGCTGAATCTAACCATGTATTTTGATTTTGGACATTGGAACATAATAGGTAAATTAAAAAAAATCAAGTTCTTAGACCACATTCTTTCTGTGTCAGAAACCTATGCTGTGTCAAATATTTAATAACAATCCAAATTCAGAGCTGTATCAAGCTTGAATGTTGTGTCCATATTTGCCCCAACTGTTCAGGATTCGACCTCTGCGGTCGTATCAAGCTGCGCCCCAGCGAAGCATTTTATTTAAATTGGAGTTATCTTCCTTTGTCCATGATTATAGTTGAATCAACTTTATACAATGCAATGTTTAATTTTGACTTCCACTGATAAAACACAGATCAAGTTGAATTGGGTAGTGTCACTTTAACCATTATTGAGTTATGCCCCTTTATAAATCGAAAGATTGCCAAATTTTTAGTTTCCATTCTGTAACTTAAGTTTGCCCCAACCAAACATTATGAAACCTATACACAATATTCATTACCACAAAACTAAGATCAAGTACAAATTTTTTGTTTCCATTTTCTAACTTTAGTTTGCCTCAACCAAATGTTATGAAACTTATACACAATGCTTATTACTACATAATACAGATGAAGTACGAAATTTGGTGGCGACACTTTTACCATTCTTGAGTTATTTCCCTTTATAAACATAAAAATTGCTGAATTTTTTCGTTTCCGTTCTCTAACTTTAGTTTGTCTCAACCAAATGTTATAAAACTTATACACAACCGTTCTAGGGTTATGCGTGTTTACAAATAGAAAAATTGCTGAATTTTTAGTTTCTGTTCTCTACTTAAGTTAGCCTCAACTAAATGTGATGAGACTTACACACTATGCTTAATACCACAAAACTCAGATCAAGTTCAAATTTGGGTAGCATCACTTTTACCGTTCTTCAGTTATGTCCCTTTATAACTATATGATATGCAAGCGGGGGCATCATCTGTGTCCACATGTGGACACTATCCACATTTATCATATATAATATACATATAAAAAGTAAAATAACAAAACGGAAAGTCCTTTATCAAATAGCAAAATCAAAAGCTCAAACACATCAAACGAATGGAAAACAACTGTCATATTCCTGACTTGGTACAGGCATTTCCTTATGTAGAAAATGGTGGATTAAAGCTGGTTTTATAGCTAGCTAAACCTCTCACTTGTATGACAGTTGCATAAAATTCCATTATATTGACAACAATGTGTGAACAAAACAAACAGACATAAAAGGTAAAAATGTCAAAAATTGGGGTACAGAAGTCAACATTGTGTTATAATCTTAATCACTATAAAAACAAACAAATATGTCAGCAAAGAAAAACAAAACGGCATAAAGACATAGCACATAAGAAAAAAATGAAAGACAATAATACAAAAAATGACCACAGCACAATAACACAATGGCGGGATGTATAAGAACTGAGCCACGCCAAAAGAATATTTCCAAAAATGGACTAAACAGTAAAGGTTAATAATATTCAAAGACAAATAAAAGAAACCTACTACACGTAGTAAAGATGATAAACAACGTCAGTACCTTGAATATATACTTCAAGACCATCATGTATTATTTGTGAAGTTGATACAGAATATTTATCAACAAGGTCTTTTTATCTTCCGATGAACTTTTTTAGAAAAAGGACGAGACACTCTTTGACATAACCCTGCTTCATCAACTTTCTGCTCAGACACTGGTAACGTTTTATAAAGTCTTGAGTAGAAGCTGCAATATAATTCTGTATTCATTTCAGATCTACAATGAAAAGAGTTGCAGCTGACTTGGATGAATTGGACAATAAAAAGGCCAGAGATAAATTTGGAAATCAGTTTGTATATCAGATGTCTCAACGATGAATGACATACCAAAGTATATATTTCATGGATGAACAATTTACCATGGTAAATCACATGTTACAAAGATGAATGATTTACCAAAGACTACTCTTAGTCTGTCACTGTTAAAGACTTTTGTGTAATGTAATGGATTTGAAACTTGAGAAGGGCTATTGGCAGATATAGGGATTGTTGTGAATTACTGAGAAACTCCCTCAATTATCTTATTTTGAATATAATACAATTTGGGCCCCAGTCCACAGTTTTTATGCTTAATGACTCTTTTTTCAATTTTGTCTTTTGTATTAGTTATTTTATGCAAGTTAATGTATCCGTAAATATCACTTACCTTTTGCCACATAAATTGTAGACCAAGTCAGGAAGATGACAGTCGTTTTCCATTCATTTGATGTGTTTGAGCTTTTGAATTTTCCTTGGAGTTCAGTATTTTTGATATTTTTACTTTTTAATACAGTGGTAGACAGAAAGGAATAGAAAAAAAGAGGAAGAAATAACTGGTGAATTGGAATCAACAGAACTGGAAGAAAGATTTCTTAGAGACATATATAATCAATACTATCTCAGACATTCCTTTACACAGAAGTCGTAGTAGTTATTCTGTTAATGATGGTTAAACACTAAAGTTTATTGTAAAATATTTGTTTATATTTATTTGGATCAGATTATACTGGAAGAATTTTTATATTAAAATGAATAAGATCAGTAAACGGTAATAAACTATCATATGTGATGAAATTGCCATAGTTTTATTTTATACAATCAGGGATGGGCACGATTACTGACAAATGTAATCGATTAATAATCGATTACATGAAGGATTTTTGAGCAATCGATTAATAATCGATTACTCTGAATTTTGTATGTAATCGATTGCAATCGATTACTTTATCAAAAGTAATTACATTACTTTTCGATTATTATCAATTACGTGCTATAAAATATTGAAGAAAGTTTAAACACAACTTATTTAGAGTGGTAATTTGGAACTTTACAAAAACAGCTTTTAAAGCATTGTTTTCAAATGTTTTTAAATCGTTTTCTAGATAGACACTCTTAGAGAGGATCTAAACTATTTAAATATTCTTGAGTGAGCGATGATAAACATGAGAACATTCTTGAAATGAAATCGAAATTGTATCAATTGCTTCCTTATATTGTAGGTCATTTTCTCCATAGTTTGCACATTTTTGTTGTCATACTGACTTAATTTTGATATTTACTCTTAGTTAACAGGATGGTATATTTGAATATAATGGGTATGAGAAGTTTCTTATGAAAAAAAATATATTAAAAAGAAGAAGAGTCAGTTAAACTAATTTTAAAAGATGGAAATTTTTAATTTATAATTACATGAATGAATTTATCCTTTTGTTTGGATAATCCCCCTAATTACAGGTTATAAAATTGCCAATGGAGAACAATTTATAACCTAAGGGCAACAACATGAATTAAATCTCTCATTTAATTAAACATAATTGAAATCAAAACATAGTCTTATCTCATTGATTAGAGGTCTTTGATCATCTGATTAGTAATTATAAAAACAAGAAGGTTTTTGAGAATTCTTTGTTCTCTTTTCAAAATCATAAACAATTTACATTTTAGTGACACAATGGGATACATGTATCTATTACTGAACAAAAACTTCAATGCATTGGTTCATTGTAAAAATGTTTTGTATTCTTTCCTAATTTTGATGTCATAACACTATGACGAATCAACAGTTTATCTACTCTAAGCTAAAGTTATAAATATAATTGAAAATTAAGCTTTAAAACTGTTATTACATATATAAAAGCATTCTTCTTTAGTATAGTACATAACTTAACTTAGGACTACAAGTACATTTATGTATTTTCCTATTTTGATTCTATTTTCTTATTTTTAACATTTTTGTTTTTAATAAAAAATATCTCAAATTATTGACAAGCATTGGAAGTCATTTATTTCAAAAGCTGGAAATAAAGTAAAATTTGTTAGACTAGGAGATCTGGTTTATCATAATGCAGCTTGAGACAACAGATCTAAATAAGGTATTTGATAAACTCTCAAGTAATATTGATACATTCTATTTTATCAGTACTTTAAACTGATGAATACATGCAGTTGTCTATTTTCATTTAAACTAGGTTTTATTTCAAACTATATTACTAAAGTAATCGAAATGTAATCGAAAAGTAATCGATGATTACATCATAATTTTTGCTGTAATCGATTAAATTACGATTACATGTAATCGAAAATGTTGTCGATTACAGATTACTGTCGATTACTTAAAAAAATGTAATCAATTACAATCGATTACGATTACAGATTACGATTACCCCATCCCTGTATACAATGCTGGTTATATTATATAAATTGTCCATTTAATCTGTCTGCTGTTTTAGTTGATTTATACATATATACTGTGTATAGTGGAGGATAGCATTGTTTACATTGTCTGTCCCTCACTGCAGATTAGTCTATTCATCTCCACAAATAAAAATTTCAGAAATGTTCAGTGCCTAATGTCACAATTCACCTATATTAATGTTTGATTGGAAGGATATCTTTGATTCTCAAAAACAGAGAGAACATATGAGTTTATAATCCACGACATGGAAATTTCCTTACCAAGAAAAATCTTGTTAGTAATTACAATGATACTAATCTGTTAAATATTTATGCATTAGTGTTAGACAGTTAGGCATTCTGCATGTATACTCATATCACTTTGTCTTCAGTTTAATCCATCTTTGCTGTAAAGTCACAAAGAGAAACATGTTAAATGTTCTAAAATTATCTTGGTATGCAAATGTTAAACATAGATCATTTCATTAAAAAATTGTACTCTGGACATTACAAAATAAGAGTGTTTTTGGGGTTAAAGCCACTTCTCATCTCCCTTGGCTGTATGATGCGTCATTGTTTATTGGTGATAGAAGCTAGTGTACCCTGCAGAGAGAACAACAGACCTTCCACAGGAAAACTGGCAATCCTTGTCAATTAAGATCAGGGTAAAAAAATCTCTTCACGACCATGTTGTTATTCCATTTTTGTTTTGTCTTGCCTTGACGACGTCAAAAAGCTAGACTTAGGTATGCTGTTTCTGGTGTCAGTGACTCAGGAGCTACAATTAGTAAAGTTTGTGATTAGGTCAGTTTAAGGGGAACCACCTGTGGAAAATCAGTGATATTTGGTAGGCAGTTGTATAAACATTGGCACATCCCATTTCCATGGAGGTTATTTGGCCCAGCCCCCTCAGTCATGATCTATTGACTTTGAAACTTTTGCGTAGTTTACATGTTAAATTTTGTGATCAGGTCTATTCCTGGGATAACAATTTTTGTGGATTTTGTGGACATATGCGAACCACTATTTCAAATGTTCAATGAAATATACATTTTCTATAGGCTTGTGTGCAGACTTTGGCAAAACCATGAAATAAAATATCCACGAAAATACAATGTTTCCTCAATCCACGAAAATTGGTACCCACAAAAATAAATGAAACTACAGAACTTATGATAAATCAATGATATTTGGTATGCAGTTTTACAAGCATTGGCACATCTCATTTTTGGACTTGCCCCCTCAGTCATGGTTTATAGAGTTTCAATTTCAGATTTTACATGTTAAAGTTTGTGATGAGGTCAGTTTAAGGGGAACCACCTGGTGATCAGTGATATTTAGTATGTAGTTGTATTAGCATTGGCATATCTTATATGCTCTTTAACAAAGAGTTTCAAGTGGTGAAGTTGAAATCATCTCCTCGCAAATTTTACGGACACCATCACAAATTGGTTGACCATTATGGAATATCTGCTTCACAGATGAAGACGGATATGTTTCACTGAATTGTCGTAACCACAATCCCATCCTCTTTTCCTCAATTGTAACCTATCACATTAGACTTATAACCAGGTTTGTACTTACATTAGCAACACTTTGGGTGACACATGTGGAGTAGGATCTGCTTAGCCTTCTGGAACACCTTGGTTTTCTATGTTGTGTTTTGTATACTGTTGTTTGTCTTTTTTTATTGTTTTTGCCATGGCATTGTCAGTTTGTTGTCCACTAATTAGTTTGAAAAGTCCTAATTTGATTTGTTTAGAAAGAGTCACATGTACAAATGTATTTTTAAAGGTATCTTTTTCCTCTCATTTATATCGCCAAAATTATTTGGCCCTGTTCCTTCAGTCATGGTTAATTGACTTTAAGTATTTTGCATAATTTAGATGTTAAAGTATTGCAATTTTATTTTCAACCTTTGCATTTTACTATCAAAATGATTTACAGGCAAGACATATCTGTGTCAATAGTAGATTTACATTTTTTGGGAAAATGACGCTATCAGCGGCATGTTTCCGATACCATTGACCAGAACTTACGGAAGTCGATTATTGCCTCCGCCTACCGCACTCGGTTTCATATTTACTATTTTACATACTAACTGGAATCTGCTTGTATTACGCTACAGTCGGACGGGAACCAGTTTACATACTATTATTTTTTTACCAAAAAGATATCTTGACCTGTCCATATGTTTTTTGTTATTAAATGGTATTTGGAGCTATCTCTTTGTTAATGTTATATTTTTCATATTTATTCGAGCTTTCACTTTTCTGCACATGTCTTACAATCGTAAACAATCGGTATGTATACATGATGAATAGATCCGTTTTGTTATGGTGTTGGACTTTTTACCCTCCAATGATCAGCAATCGCTAGACAAAATAGTTCTCCTAAATAATGTCAGCCTTTCATGCCGCGATTTCAACTTTACAATCATTAAAAAAAGTGAAAATCGGAATTTTTTTGATATCCATTGGATAGAAACTGGTCTTTATCCAGATTTACGAAGATTTTAAAAATGGGAAATTAGTAATACGGTTATACCCACGCGGTGCATATGAATCTTTGTTTACAAAACAGGATTTCGGAACGTCTCTAGTTTTTAGATCGTAAGTCACGATAAACTCAAACTGAAAGTAAACAGTTGTTTGTAAGACGCAGGTTTACTCACCATAAACAAGCTGAAACGTTCAGTATGGCATATATTTTAGGTTAAAGACGGTCCCATTCATTTAAAAAGCATTTTGAAAGTAGACGATGGGATTATTTCAGGTTTGGGGAACGAGTAAATTATCACAAAGTTAATTTCTTGACGACCTCATAATTTCATCATGTCGATGGTACAAATCGATTTTTACTGTTTACTTCTCATGTTTTGTATTTAAACGGTCGTTTGTTTTTAAACCCGAACCAGGCATATGCATTCTGAAATTGTGCAAATCTTCGTTCTTTGGACAATTGGCTTATGGATAATTGTATCAATTTCAACTCTTACATTATTTTTTTTTTAAATATATTTGCATTACACATGCAATGGCAGTACCTTTCCAATCACTATTTATGTGTTGTGTCTAAATTAAAGTTGTAACACTTTATAGTAACTGGAAAGGGTAGAAAAAATCATCAGATGAGAAAAGGCTGAAGATACTTCAAACGGCACCGAATCATTAGATATTGCATCTTATAAAATGAAACTGAGATTTGGATAGTTCCACTTCAAGATAAAAATGTTTATCTCTTGTGAAATGAAATAAATAAAATATTGTAACACTGTAGTTAATTAATAAAGATACTATTACGTGTATTTCTGTATTGGCCTTATTATTGGTTCTCGGCCAGCAGTCAAACGGCACTGAATCATTAAATATTGCATCTTATAAAATGAAACTGAGATTTGGATAGTTCCACTTCAAGATA